TCCATCTGTCGTCTGTTCTTCTGGCTATCGGGATCGGGTGGCCGGAATTAGGTGGCTGGAATCCGGTGGCCGGCCCCCCTGAGTCTTTTTTTCTCGATCACTTCCACTGAATCTCTGAATCCCGAGAGCCGGCGCATATCCGTACTTCTAAGGTCTTGATCGAGCTGCGTTTTCCTATTGTCGTTTGAGGAGGTTCCTTTCAAGGGGCTCGATGCGTCGTTCTCAGGGCCTGGCTGGTGGCAAGGTCGTCCCAGGTGTGGCCAGGTCAGCCCAGGTCGTGGCCCAGGTCGTGGCCCAGGTCGTGGCCCAGGCCTCTGTCCCGTAGCAGAGTGCCGGGAGGACGTGCTGGTCGGAAGGAGGGCCTGAGTCCTTCTTGAGTATTTTTGTGACTTCTTTGATGCTTCCTAGTGCTGTCCAGGGCCGCTCGTCTTCTTCTGGCGACTTCTGGTCTCGTGGTAAGTCACTCTGTGATCCGTATCGTCCATCAGTGGTCTGTTCTTCTTGGGCTACGTGGGCTTGGTCCATCTGAGTAATTTTAAAAACAAATCTCCACTTTATTACCGAATTTCTGAGCATAATCAGTCTCACTTTTATTCGCCGTTACTCCTCGTATTTATTCACTCGTAACCCTTCTCCAAATTACCCCAAAGTGCTCTGAGTGATCCAATGCCAACGCCTGGACCAATGCCAACGCTTAGGATCAATGCCAACGTCTTGAGTGATCCAATAACGCTCTGAGTCATCATACCAACGCTCTTGAGTCATCCAATGCCAACGTCTTGATCATCCAATGCCAACGCTTGAGTCATCCATGCCAACGCTCTCGGGTCAAATCCGGGCCAACGCTCTTGAGTCATCAATGCCAGCGCCCTTGACATCAAATCCCAACCTTCGGAGTCATCCAATGCCAACGCTTGAGTCATCCAATGCCTACTTCATTGCCCTAAACGCAACTATAGTAATCGTTTTTCATTTTACACCTTCTAAACCTTCTAGATATTTCTAAAGTTTTTGTTTTGCAAGAATGTTTTGCACATTCTCGTGAATGTTTCAAAATTCATGGCAAAAATCTCGAGGACGAGGAAGAAAAATGAGAAAAAAACAGAGTGGATTTTCTCTTTTTTTATATCATTTCTTTTAAATTTTCCTTCTTTAGAAGGCATCGAGTTGACAGAATTGACAGAATTTCGTTATTTTTAAGCATTTTGACCAAATTTCGTTAAAGAGATTAGCATAAAAGGGAATGAAAGACCAAGAAGATGGTTCTCCCAACAGCAACAGTTCTCCCAGCATAAAAGGGAACGTCAACCGTCTCATTTAGATGATTCTCAAAGAATGAAATTAGAAATCGTATTGACTGATCAGCGCTGACTGATCGCATTGACTGATCCCTAAATCTGATACCCAAATCTGTCGACTAATTCTAAACTCAATTTCTGATATTTAGTCTGTACTTTGATTGGAATAGCGAATCTTGCTAGCTTTGATCCATTTCTCATTCTTTGTCTGTTTCTGTGTGTGTGCCGATTTTCTCGACAAAAATTCCTCAGGCAATTGAAAGATATTCGAAAAACAATCACTTAAACAGTTGTCAAACATTAAGAAAAGTTTGCCAGAGTTGATTTCCGAGACGAAAATTTGGCTTATCTGATAGTTAGCCGATTCTAACTGACTAGTAAGGCCTGGTTTGGTCTCCGGAGACACTTTAGCCTGGTCACCTCGGGACTCGGAACCTGATCGGAACCGTAATTAGATCTTGATCGGAACCTAATCGGAACCCAATTAGATCTTGGTCGAGTCCTAATCGGAACCTAATCGAAACCCAGCACTGGATCCTGATCGGAACCTAATCGAAATCTAATCAGAGCCTAACTAGATCCTGATCGGAACCTAATCGAAAACCTAACTAGATCCTGATCGGAACCTAATCGGAACCTAACCGAAACCTAACTCAGATCCCTGATCGAAAGCTAATCAGAACCAAACCAGCTCCTGATCGGAAGCCAATTCACCCTATTTCTAGTGTTTTTTTTAAACGTTATTTCCGTTATTCCGTAAGCTGGATTGATCGATTCATCGGCTGGCTCTGCCAGAATTTGTGTGTTTACGCTTTTTAAGCACAAAATACAAAACAGCTACAAATTTGGATTCGAATCGACGTCTCTTTCTCCCTTGACTTTCCTTGAATTCCCGATTTCTCGTACAATTATCTACGATCTTTTTCTTTAGTTTCTTCTCAAACACTTTTCTTTTGTCTAAGCTCTTTTTTATCTCATTTCATTAGCAAACCCGCCCATCGAACACAATAAAATTACCGCAATTACACGCAAAAGGGGGAGAGTTTTTGTGCGAAGAACGAGAATTTCTCTGTTTACGAAAAAGCAACGAACTATAGTGTGTATGAAATGGCGATGGGAGTACTCTGTAGACTTTACATATTTGTTTTGTTTTCTTTCTCGAAATCAACATTAAACAACGTCTTAACGTCTCAAACTTTCCTATATAAAGTTCGTTGAAGGCCTTCAAATGTCTTTCTTTCAATTGTTCTCCCAAATACCTTAACAGAAATCTAAACATTCCCTTTCTTAGTGCACTCAAATCTTTACTTCACTCCAAACTTACTTCCTAAAATGAAGAATTTCGGTTTAAAGAAGTGTACATTTTAAATCCCTCAGCACATTTTGTACTTATTAGCTTAGAAACGGGAACGCAAGCTTCTAGTAAAGAACTCGATTCTTTTTTATCTACTTTTTTTCTGCTAAATTGAGTACGCTAGAAGGAGAATGTTTTTATATTTCTTTTATGGCATTCTCTTTATGAAATCGGCCTTGATGTTTATGTCGAAGTTGGTTTTTTTTTTAAATCCCTCTAATTTTTCCATAAACAGCATGTTTTTCTGAGTTGATTGACGTGTCACACGTAGTCACGTTTCATCAGAAAACGCATGCATTTGATTTGATTTTATTTTATTCATCTCTTACACATTCATTTGACTCACAATACCTATAAAAACCGTCTAAACTGGATTCTGAAGGAGATTTTTGATCAAAATTTCTTGTTGCGACAACCTTTAAGAGATCTTTGGAAGCTTTAAAACACTGATATGTTCATAAAAAAGCAGTTCTTATGTTTCAAGAAAAAAATTAGACAAGTTTGGTTAGGGAGGATTTGAACCATACTCAAAGCGTCGCCCTGTAGACTGGCGCGCTATCCCCTAGGCCACCACCGCCCTGGGGCCCTCCCGGCTTGACGCCCCTTTATACCTGGCGGTATGCCGAATTTCCCGGAACCTTTTCAAAAACTAGCCATTGTACAGGAAAAAAAATCTATTTCTTAGAATTCGACGGGCGCTTCTGTAGCTAGGAGCGTTTCGTTTCGTAGCGTTTCGTAGCCGGTTTTAAAAATCGGTGATATGTTGAAGCAGTTCCCTATTTAAGATTTGCAAGCATTAGCTTGCTTGGAAAACGGCTTCCCTTATCGTTTTCTCTTCTTCTTCATTCAAATCCTTTATACAACTTTAAACTTTTCATTTTTTCCAGCATTCAACCATGGAAACGACTCACTCCTATTGACGGTCTTGATAAATGATCATCGTTCTCGTTCAATCAGGTACCCAATCCGTCGTTGCCTTTCTGGAAGTGCCTTTCTGGAGGCCTATTTGGACGTCAACTCCAAAAAACCACACTTTCAGACACCGACATTCTATCAACAGCGATTAATGAAACGAGGTTTCGTCAAAGTGCTTCCGCCTCAATTTCGGAAAAAAGTAATTAATTGAAAAGATAAAGTTAAATAATCAACTTTTATCCAAGTTTCAATCTGAATAGAAAAAACTCTTATACAAAAAAATTTCCCTTTCAGGTGCCATTTCTATTGCTTCCATCCTCTGCATCTTCATCAGTATCTCGATCGTGATCCATCTACTTACGATTATTGAGCAAGAATTATTGGAGATATCATCTTTGAGGTAAAATAGTAGTGATAAGCTTTGCAAACAAATGGAAAGGAAACAAAAAACGAAAATGAGATAGTTAACAAATGCATTGCTTCTGCAAATTTAGAGTTATCAAAATTTTCTCTTTTTGGTATACTGAAGAATGTGGAGGGATACAGGTACTTCCGCAAAGAACTAAAATTTTCTTAGCCTTCGACAAGTGTAAATGTTCTCTATAAACTAGGAGAGATGGATAAGAGAGTATCAGGATAATAGAAGAAATCCATCCTAAAGTTTGGATTTTGAATGAAAAGAAAGTTGACTTTCAAGAGAATTTTTCAGATGCAAGACCCAAAGAACTGATAATCAACTTTAAGACTGTTTCGTTGCAAGCGCTACAGTGGCGAATCTCCTTTGACTCACCCCATTTAATGCCCATACTCTCTCTAACAATTTAATACTTGCACTTTATAACGTGCCAAACGCGGGAATGATTTCACGATTATATTTGCAAAACGTCCACGAGAAGGGAATAAGTCAACGTTGAGCAGTTTGGAAACAATAAAAGCGAGCAGTGTCTCCCGAATTTCCCCATTCAAACCACAACATGACCATATTTCGTGGCTTTTAGCCCCAAAACATCCATAATCGCGTTTCGCCCTATGACTTCATATTTGAGCACTAGTTAAGTTTACTACCTTTTGAACAATTAACGATATTTATTTACAAAAAAAAAACAATGAGTCATTTAATGGCTTTTCCGAATGCCTCGATGATCTTCTGCATGGAGCAATCTAGTGAAAGAAAAGAATTTAATCGGTTTAGATAAAACTTTAAGATTTTTTGTGTTATCCAAAAAATGAATCTGACTTTGAACGCTAGACGTCTGTTGTGCAAAGTCATTAAATAAATGCGTTAAATGGTTAGAACTTCTCCGCACAAGGGATGCCAGACGCATGTAAGAGGAAACTATTCTCTGGTTAAATAGCTAACCGATCTTAATTCAAAGATTTTACCTTCGCAGCGGCGTTCTTGAGTGCTTGAACCTTCAGTTTGCGAAATTTCATCTGCCCTTCGTGATATGCGGCACTCTTGACTTTTCTCTTTTCTTCGAGCTTCCCAACCACTCCCTATTAAGCCATTCAACCCCGTGAGCAAGACGTCCAACTTAAAGACAAAGCATTAGGCAAAGCAAATAGATTGTTTAACCTGTGCAGAACTTTTCGGCGTGGTTTAAGCGACGAGGAACCTCATGGCTGTTGGGAGAACCATACTTCTTAGTCTTGTCGTTTGGTGCTAGCCACCATCCTTCGTAGGCTTTTAGACGTTGAAGTGCAAGCTGTCCACGGTTGCTCTTGTGCGGGAAGCATTCCTCGCAACAACTGTTCGCTAGAAGATCTTGGTGGGGCACCAAAATTTAATATATTAAAACTGATTAGAACCTAATACTTGATTAAATTATAAATTAATCTTAAAAAAGCAAATTGTTTAATGCTCTGGACGTTTGAATGAGTTTGAGTGGGCGTTTCACCGGAAATTTTTACCGAAACCGTAAACCAACCGAAATGTTTAGGGACCACGCGATACGGAGTAACGTTAGTCGCTTGCGAAGTTAGCGGAGAGGTACTTCAGCTTTGATCGGTGGAAGTTGCCAGAGATCGTGATCAGCTCAGATCGAACGATGCGACAACCTAAAGCACAAAGTAAAGAACGTTAAAATGAGGCTTTACTGTTCATTAAATCTCAACCGATGCACGGCTTTCTTTTTCAGTAGCTATAAAGCACTCAATTGCAAATACCAAACTGGTTGCTGCATTTAAACTCTAATTACTGACATATCTAACCTTATTCTTAAACATCTAGCCTCTCATCTTTAACCAACTTTTCAAAAGGATTGCTTTTGGCCTATTGAGTAGCTGTTTGGCGGTTACACTGAGCAAGTCTGCCTTTCAATGTGATCCTTGGCGTCGATGACGTAGTTCTGTCTTTTTATTGCTCAAACCCATGTTTGCTTTCTCAAAATAGAAAAATTAAAGTTTTGAACTTTGAAGAAAAGAACTTGAAAGAAAACAAAAAGGTTCAAAGAGTTGAGAAAGCGCAATGCCAATTTGCGTGAGATTTGCAGCCACTTTAGCAAAACACGAATAAAACGTTTGACATGAGGAAGATAGCCACAAAAAAACGTGGATGATCACAAAGAACGCGCAAAGTTATGGGTATTCAAATAAAAGGAAATACGATATAAGATTAGTATTTCTTCATTGGCCAGTTTTTGAGAAACATAATGTTTATATTTTGAAAGCTTTAAAAAAAGACTAGTTTAATCGCGTATACTTTCAAAGTGTCCGCCAACGAGCTCTAATTGAATATCATATTTAATTTCCTGGGAAAATTCAAACAAATGGGGCAAATAGTGAAAGTTAAGGAAGCGCTGCCTCTTCATCTGCGTAGATTTTTCGTGGCCGCCCCTTTTTTGAAATTCTTCATCGAAACTAGAAGATATTCAGGTCGAGTGGGCAAGGGGACACTTCGTAGTACACTTTGTATATTCGCGACAGATTACAACCAAATCAATGGAATTCTTTAGATAAAGCTCGGATGATCAATTATTTCCTTTTGCAAAGGAACGTTTGGGGTAGGCTACTTTTCCGCCATTTCCATTTTGCGCAACTCGCCTAACCTTTTTCATAAGTGGGCTAATCTTTACATGCTTTTGGTGTATTTTTATTTGCACTATTGTAGGATCCACAAAATGAAGAAAGCTTTTTACAAAGACCGGCTTACAGAGAAGAAAGTTATGGCGAGTGCAAGCCTCTTCCTACATGCGCAAAAAGGTGGTAGAGAAACCAATACCCTGAACGGGCACCCCTTTTCTCCCTCGTGTCGTACTGTAAAGGGCGACGCCAGACAAGATGGGGCACGTTAGTTTGGAAACGATCACAATTATAAATGCGTATTCCCAAAAAGGTGTGGGACAACTGCGACCTTTTCTTTGCGCACCTGGACATTTGCGCACCTTTTTTCTGCTGGAAAGCGCTTAGGAAGGTCGTGGAGCTTCGAAAATATTTTCTAGAAGGAAACCGTATGCGTAGATTTCGAATTTCCCGATAGAATCAGACCTCGCTGACCGTCACAATTTGGGCTAAAGGCCCAAAAACTGCGCATAACTTAACGCTTTTTCCTTAGGTTTTCAGCTTTTCAACAAACTTATAAAAATTAGGTCATCATTGTATTTTTTATTCCCTTTCACTGCATATTACTCCCTTTTCGTTTGCAAGTGAAAAGAGAGTCGATCGAACAAGAGAGAACTCGTATGGAGATAATTATCCGCCAGGGACGAATGCCTATAACTCTCAGCCTTTCTGCCCGTTCCTCCTTGGGACTGAGTAAACACTTTTCACGCCACTAGTATCAATTATCGAATTCTGTTTTCGCTTGGGTTAATCCAATTTGTGCATTTTAAAACTGGGAAAACTTTTATGCTTTTAACTGTTTTTTTGTTTAACTGTCTACCCTTTTTTAGGGATTGATTTATATGAGTGTTTTCCTTGATGTGTCCGATTTCCATGCAAACAGGTGGATTTGAGTTTCAAAAAAAGGAATTAGGTCTCATTAAGAATTCGAGTTTTTTTTTTTTTTTGGAAAAGAGCAAAACCTTTCCAGTCCTTTTAGGGAATTGACTCCACCAACACTTGAGGGAAGAAGAGAGACTGGAAAAGGATTGGTGGGGAAGGGGAAGGGAGTACTGTGGGAAAAACCACACCACTATATCTTTTTTTAGATAAATATCGATTTATGCATATGAAGAAGCATCTAGTTATCTAGTTATCTAGTTATCCAGTTATGTATACTTATTCTAGTTATCTAGTCATCTAGTTATCTAGTTATCAGTTATCTAGTAATCTAGTTATCTAGTTATCTAGTAAATATAGTTATCCTAGTTATCTATAAGAATATAGTTATCTGAGGGGAGAGCTATCTAGTTATCTAGTTAATTTAATTATTTGAAGCTTATCGAGTTGCTAGCACTGGAGAATCAGTCATGATATTTGGAAAAGATCATCACTTCTTCGCGTCACTCTTTACAAACTCCTTGTCTTTGAGTTTTCTTAAACTATTAGTATATGGCATTTTTGAAAGCTCTTTTCAAGTTTTACACAGCACAATGGAATATTTGGAGTATTTAGAATGGGGGAAAAGACAAGGGAGAAACCCATAGATCGGGAAAGTGACGATCTTTTTTCAAATATTATATTCCCATTGTCCAAAGAGCGTATCTAGGGGGGGGGGGGGGGGGGGGGGGGGGTGTGTTTTGTGTGTGTGTTTTTTTTTTTTTTTTTTGGGGTTACCTCGCTTCCATTCAGTTACCTAGTTATCTGGTTACTAGTTACCTAGTTATCTAGTTATCTAGTCTTCTAGTTACCTAGTTATCTAGCTAGCAAAGAAGCAATTGATCAATCAAGAAATCCGTTTTTGAGCATAAAGTTCACTGTAGATTGCATGTTTGCTGTGTTTCCTTGATATGGATACAAATATATAACACGCTTCAAATATGAAAATTAAAGTGTTCTATGTGTGCTTGTGTATTTCATTGTTTCTTTTCTTTTTTTATAAAATTATAATCTCCAATCATTGCAAAAACTGACTGAAAACCCGCCAATTTCCCCTTCACAACCAGCTCGGCAACCTAATACAGATGGACCTTCCATCTCTCCTTCTTCTTTCTCAAATCGTTCATTCCATTTTCCTATTTGTCCTATCGTTAGAATAAATTGTTGACATAGAGCCTCACCTCTTCCCTAAAAATTTCTTTTGTCGTTACTTTTCACTCACCATTTCCATGTCTTTTTCATTTCGATCTTGGCAAAGTTGACATCAAACTCCCATTTTTCCCTGGAAATGTATGGAATTCGGTCGAATGAGGTCAAAAGCTTTTGTAACGAAAGTTTAGGAAAGTTCTCTGAAAGCTGAATTGGTAAATTAAGGTTTCTGTTTTAAACTATACTTTAGCATTGGGGTTTCTTGAGTTCCTGTTTTACTAAAGTTGAAAAGTTACCTAGTTATTTAGTCATCTAGTTACCCAGTTATCTGGGGTTATCTAGTCATCTAGCTATCTCAGTCATCTAGTTATCCTAGTTACCTAGTTATCTAGTTATCTAGTTACTCTAGTTATCCTAGTCATCTAAGTCATCTAGTTATCTAAGTTATCTAGTTATTCTAGTTACCTAGTTATCTAGTTATCTAGTTATCAGTTATCTACCGTAAATACTGTAATAGTACCCCACGCCCCTCGTACAACCGCGTAGTCGCAAAAGCTTTTTTATATTTCATTTTTCAAAGCGCCCGTACTTTCAAAAAATGCGTCTTTGATATCACGCAATAGCCCTGAATCTAGCTATTTTTTGATACCTAAATGCACATTGTAGCAAAACCAGTGTCGAGATGAAAACTCGTTCAAAGCTAGAGCTACGCAACACTCCGCACCGTCACTATGGGGGTGGGGTACTATCTACAGTATTTACTGTGAAGACTATCTAGTTATCTACTTACCGTAGCTTTTGGATGCTTTTACTTTTATCGCAACACATTGAAATATAATATTAGAAGACTCTTGAAGATTCATTTCTATAATAATCCACTGACTAAACTTGATGTACTTTGTGCTCGACAGAAACACCCATTTTCTAGGGCGCTAACTTCTTTCTTCCACTGTAAAACACAGCTATAAAGACAATGAAATAAAAGAAATGATCGAGTGCACCAAAATGGTGTGTGTCCATCACAAAGTACACTGAGAGGGTACTACGATAAATACGAAATTTAGCACTCATATCAGGGCAAAACTGGATCATTTCTTAAACTTTGATTTCTTCACAGAATGCTTCACAAATTCTTAGCTGCCCTTTCCCCCCCATTTCTCTAATAATAATCCCCCCTTCGGGGCCTCCGTAGCAGGTTTTTTTCGTGCAGTCCTTTTCTCAAAAGAAAACTTAAGCATTCTCCTTTTCGCCGAAAATTTCCCCGAGAAGCTGATCACAAGTGTCAACGTTGAAAATCGGTGAAGAGCAATCGTTGAAGGGGACCCAAAAGAAAAATGCTCGGAAAGTCACCGCCCACTCGCAACTTTTTGCGGAAAATCCCCTCCTCTCTTTACCCACACTTTGAATCATCTTTCTCAAGTTGATAAAGTGAAAAGTTTTCTGAAATTCTACTTGTTTGAAAGTTGAGAGTTTACTGTTGATAGTTTTCTTGTTGTCTTTTCTTTTTTTTTGAAACAAAACCAAAATTGAATCGTGCAATTCCAGCGATATGTCGTATAACAACGCTCCCGCCGCGGCGGGCGCCATTGAGTGGACGACAGACGAACACATCAGCAAGTTCGTTTTGAAAAAAATATAAACGAATAAGCCGAAAGCCGAAAAGTTACTTAATTCGAATATTGATACAAATTCAATATTGATACAAAAAACGTGAAGTATCCAACAAGCAAAGTCGACTAGAGTCCTAGATCGATCGTACTCATAGATCGTACTCATAGATCGTACTCATAGATCGTACTCATAGATCGTACTCATAGATCGTACTCATAGATCGAACTCATAGATCGTACTCATAGATCGTATCTCATAGATCGTACTCATAGATCGATCACTCATAGATCGTACTCATAGATCGATCACTCAGATCGTCACTCATAGATCATTACTCATAGATCGATCACTCATAGTCAGAACATTAAACTCTCTTCGTTACAATCCCTTTTACAGCATCGGGTCGTAGTCTAAAGATTGTGACTGAAATGGGATCGGGAATCGGATCTGGATTGTCTCCATTCGGTCAAAATGCCGCTTCGACTATTCGTGATTCGCGTGAAAGGGAGAAAAAAGATTTGGGTGATTTAAACGATCGACTTGCCTCCTATATCGAAAAGGTAAATGAATTCAAGAGCTCACAGATAGTAAAATGATGATTGTGAAGATGAAGATGATGAAATTTGGTGCTAAAAACAAAGTTAGTTCTTTAGCTCAAAAGTTAGTTCTAATTTTAGCTCTTACACAAGTTCACTGCTTGTTAGGTGGCTTAGTTTCAGTCATTGACGAAAATACGAACCGTGTACAGTACAGTACAGTACAGTTACAGTACAGTACAGTACAGTATAGTTACAGTACAGTACAGTTACAGCACAGTGCAGAAGACAGTTGCAGTTACAGTACAGTACAGTTACAGTACAGCTACAGTATAGTACATTAAGTACTACATAGTACATTACAGTACGATAGTACAGTTGATAGTAGTACAGTTAAGGACAGTACAGTTACAGTACAGTACAGTACAGTTACAGTACAGTACAGTTACAGTACAGTGCAGTTACAGTACAGTACAGTACAGTTACAGTACAGTACAGTACAGTTACAGCACAGTACAGTTACAGTACAGTTGCAGTATAGTACAGTTACAGTACAGTACAGTACAGTACAGTTAAGTACAGTATAGTACAGTTACAGTACAGTTTTGGTTTTGCTACAGTTTTCTTACAGTTTTGTTTGGGTTAAGTAAAGAAATAAATGGCAAAGTTTATCAAAGAGGGAATCGAACCCTTGACCTTTTGCTGCGAGCTCCTCCCTTCTATTCTGATGCTCTACCATTGAGCTATCAGCGCCTTGTTTCCTAGAGGAGAAATTGAAATACAAAGGGGAAGGGAAAGGAAACCAAGTCAACAAAAATTAAAGTTATAATGCTTTTGACTAAAAGTTTTGATCTTTTGAAATCTTTGGGTAAAAAATGGAATTCCCAAATCATTAACAATTCATTCCAGTAAATTCTACTGGATACGAAATTCACACAAATTTAACAGATTATCAGAGAACAGCTCTAACTACAGTTAGATCAGCTCAGCCTTTCAAAACAAAGCTCTCCATTTTTCTCAGGTGCGCTTCTTGGAGGCACAGAATCGAAAGCTTGCCACCGATTTGGATGCGCTTCGATCGAAATGGGGAAAAGATACGCACAATGTGAAAAATATGTATGAGAGGGAACTCGGTGATGCACAAAAGGTTGGCAAAAAAGCAGGCAGGCAAAAACTTAAACTTAACAAATTGATATGGTTGCAACTTAACAATTGATATGTTTATATTTTTTCAGCTCATCGAGGACACTCACAAACAACGCAAAGAGCTCGAGGGACAGGTGAAGAAAATGCAAGATGAGCTCACGGATATCAAGAAAAAGTAAATCATAGTATTATAGATGTAATCATAGTATTATAGATGAAAAATTGATCGACTTTTACAGTAATTTGGTGCAGTATTTTGGTGTATTAATTTGCTTTTTGAGTAAATTTCTCAGAACTTTAAGCTTTTCCTCAAACACTTAGCGCAACAGTAATCGGCTTTCTTTCTGAAAAGAGGAAATGAGTGGCTAGGAAAAGAATGGCTAGGAAAAGAGTGGCTAGAAAGTGAGTGGCTAGGAAAAGAGTGGCTAGGAAAAGAGTGGCTAGGAAATGAGTGGCTAGAAAGTGAGTGGCTAGGAAAAGAGTGGCTAGGAAATGAGTGGCTAGGGAATGAGTGGCTAGAAAAGAATGGCTAGGAAAGAATGGCTAGGAAATGAGTGGCTAGGAATGAGTGGCTAGGAAATGAGTGGCTAGGGAATGAGTGGCTAGAAAGTGAGTGGCTAGGAAATGAGTGGCTAGGAAAAGAGTGGCTAGGAAATGAGTGGCTAGGGAATGAGTGACTAGAAAGTGAGTGGCTAGGAAATGTGGCTAGGGATGAGTGGCTAAGAAATGAGTGGCTAGGGAATGAGTGGCTAGGAAAAGAATGGCTAGGAAAAAGAATGGCTGGGAAATGAGTGGCTAGGGAATGAGTGGCTAGGGAATGAGTGGCTAGGGAATGAGTGGCTAGGGAATGAGTGGCTAGGGAATGAGTGGCTAGGGAAAGAGTGGCTAGGAAATGAGTGGCTAGGGAATGAGTGACTAGAAAGTGAGTGGCTAGGAAATGAGTGGCTAGGGAATGAGTGGCTAAGAAATGAGTGGCTAGGAAAAGAGTGGCTAGGAAATGAGTGGCTAGGAAATGAGTGGCTAGAAAGTGAGTGGCTAGGAAATCAGTGGCTAGGAAAAGAGTGGCTAGGAAATGAGTGGCTAGGAAATGAGTGGCTAGGAAAAGAGAAAGGATTTTAAAACCTAGATCTTAGAGCTTTCAAAAAGAAACCATTTTCTTCAATATTCATTCCCAAATAAAGAAATGATAGGGAAAATTAGGAAAAAGAAAAAAGAAGGATTTCTTTTTAACACAGATCCAAGTCCACAGCAATTCACTCGACTTTTTGAGATGAATATTTAGTTTGTAAATCTATAATTTAATCTTTAATCTAATCTGTAATCTAATCTGTAATCTAATCTGTAAATTAATCTATAATTTAATCTGTAAATTCATCTCTTCTTTTAGATTCGATCCTGCTTTATAAATTCGATATTTTATCGTTGATTTTTGTAGATACGAAGATGCCGTTCGAGGGCGTAGCACAGATCGCGCGAAAATCGACGAATTGTTGGTGATTTGTCGAATATCGAGGCTGAGATCAACTTGTTGAAGCGGCGAATCGCTCAAGTAAAGCCGATTTTTTAAAAATTCGACCATTCAACTCTTCAACCATTCAATTTTCAATGATATTTGATGATTAGATATTAGATTTCAATGATTTTTAAGAACTTATATATCTAAAAACTGATCACTATGCTTTAATTGTGTTTTGAGTGAGTTGATTTCAGTTTACAGAGCTGGAATTGTGTCGTAGTAATGCTGTAAAGTAATCCTGTAAAGTTATCCTGTAAAAGTAATCCTAGAAAGTAATCCTGTAAAGTAATCCTGTAAACCCACTGTGTAGGAGTCCTGTAAACACATCGATGATTTGTGTACAGTGCCATACAGTGTACAGTGCCATACAGTGTACAGTGCCATACAGTGTACAGTGCCATACAGTGTACAGTGCCATACAGTGTACAGTGCCATACAGTGTACAGTGCCATACAGTGTACAGTGCCATACAGTGTACAGTGCCATACAGTGTACAGTGCCATACCGTGTACAGTGCCATACCGTGTACAGTGCCATACAGTGTACAGTGCCGTCCAGTGTACAGTGCCGTCCAGTGTACAGTGCCGTCCAGTGTACAGTGCCGTCCTAGAAGCATTAAACTTGCTGCATATCACTTGAAGATTTGCCGTTTTTATCTTGAGACAAGTTTTAGCTGGAAGAAGAGGTGAAGAGGATCAAGTCGGAGAACCAGCGACTCCTCAGCGAGTTGCAAAGAGCAAGAACGGTGAGTGATGAGGAGATTATTATACTTCATTGGATATCTTTAACTCAATCTCTTCAACCCAATATCTTCAACACAATATCTTTAACTCAATATCTTTAACTCAATATCTTTAACTCAATATCTTTATTCAATGTTTAATTGAGCATTCAGGATCTCGATCAAGAGACTCTCAACCGGATCGACAATCAAAATCAAGTGCAAACACTGCTCGAAGAGATCGATTTCCTTCGTCGTGTTCAAGATCAAGAAATTAAAGAGTTACAGGTATAAGGATTACATAAAAAGGCATAAGAATTGTATAAGGATTGTATAAGAATTGTATAGGGATTGTATAAGGATTGTATAAGAACTGTATAGGAATTGTATAAGGATTCTATAAGAACTGTATAAGAATTGTATAAGAATTGTATAAGTATTGTAAAATTTGCATAAAAACTTGTTTTCTATGTAAAATCTAGATGTTGGCCGCTCGTGACACCACCCCCGAAAACCGGGAGTACTTCAAGAACGAGCTGTCGTCGGCGATTCGCGAAATCCGTGACGAGTATGATCAGGTTCGTTTCCCGCCACCGTATCCCCATTACAGCTCAAAGATTTACAAGCAAAAGCCCAATTCAGCTCTCGAATGTTCACCGCAACGACATGGAATCGTGGTATCGTCTTAAAGTTCAAGAGATTCAAACACAATCGGCTCGTCAGACGATGGAGCAAGGGTAAAGCGATCTTTTGATAGCGATCTTTTGAATTGATATAGGAAATAAAATATGCTAATAATAGTGATAAGTTAAATGTCTACTTGATTTTAGATTCTATAACCTTAGTAAATATCCTTTTAGATACGCAAAAGAAGAGGTGAAACGTCTTCGCTCACAGCTCACCGATTTGCGTGGAAAGTTAGCCGATTTGGAAGGAAGAGTGGGTGATTTAGTCGATTAAAGTTTCATAAAGTTAATTATATTCAATCTAGTCAATGAAATGTCTTTATTTAAAGGTCTTTATTTAAATATCTTTATTTAAAGATCTTTAACTCATTTCAATATCCCTAAACACTTTAGAACTCCCTCCTTGAGAAACAAATCCAAGAGCTCAACTATCAACTTGAGGATGATCAAAGATCTTACGAAGCGGCACTCAATGACAGGTTTCATTGCATAAATTGATCATTTTATTGGATAAGTTTTAGGTTTTAAGTTGATAATGTCATTGGATCAGTTTAAGTGTTATAAACAAGTACAACCAGATAGAGATACAACCAGATAGAGATAGTCAAATCAAATCAAAGTCAAAGATAGTCAAATCTAACATTTCAGAGACGCCCAAATCCGCAAAATGCGTGAAGAGTGCCAGTCGCTTATGGTCGAACTGCAGATGTTACTGGATACTAAACAAGTAACAGTTTACATTTTGAGCTTATAAAGAAGCTTACATAGAAGCTTATATAGAAGATGCATGTCTCTGTCTTGCTTTAAAGGCATTGCTTCTGACCTAGATTGGCTTGACTTAGCCTTGAACTGACTGTTAACTTTGCTCCTTTTTCGATCCGTTTGCCGCTAATAATCCACGAATGGTTATGGCTGGCTTGGCTTACTGGACCGGCCGCTAAGACCGGACTAGGACCTAGGGCTTACTGCTAGCCGGCTTACTAGACCTAGCCGGCTTACTAGACCTAGCCGGCTTACTAGACCTAGTCGGCTTACTAGACCTAGCCGGTTTACTGGACCTAGCCGGTTTACTAGACCTAGCCGGCTCCAGTAAGCCTACTGGCTCTAGAGAAACATTCCTGACTTTAAAAACTTTAAGATATTTACCAAGTATTAAATCTTGCAGACGCTTGACGCTGAGATTGCTATCTACCGGAAAATGCTGGAAGGAGAAGAGAATCGAGCCGGCCTTAAACAATTGGTCGAGCAAGTCGTCAAGACTCATGGAATTCAGCAAGAAGTTGACACTGGTAGATTGATTGAATTGGTTGAATTGATTGAATTGATTGAATCGATTGAATTGAATTGAATTGATTGAATTGAATTGAATTGAATAATTCTCAAAACCTTTCCAGAGACAATGCGTGTGGTGAAAGGAGAGACAGCCTCTCGACAATCATTCCAACGATCAGCTAAAGGAAATGTCTCTATTCATGTGAGATCCTCTAAAGATTAAATCCTCTAAAGATCAAATCCTCTAAAGATCAAATGAAAATTATGGGATTTCTAGGAAGCATCTCCAGATGGGAAATACATTGTTCTCCAGAATACACATCGTGCTAAAGATGAAGGAATTGGAGAGTGGAAGTTGAAGAGGTAAAAGCGAAAGAAAATTGACAAAATGAAGTGTTAAAGCTTGATTTATCGATTCAATTTAGAAAGATCGACGGAAAGAAAGAAATCGTTTACACTCTACCCGTAAACTTTGTGTTAAGAGCCGGGAAACAAGTGAAGGTTGGGAATTTACATTTAATTTGACGGGGATTTACAAGAGCAATACAATTTACAATAGAATTTGATCGGGAATTGCACTTTATCTATCAATTATCTATTAATTATCTATTAATTAGTTCAATTATCTATACTTCAATTATCTATACTTCAATTATCTATATTTCAATTATCTATCAATTATCTATACTTCAATTCTATCATAGAGAACAGCTAAAGCTTTAAACAACTTTAGAATTCGCTTAGCTTTAGAATAGCTTTAGAATAGCTTTGGAATTAGCTTAGCTTTAGAATAGCTAAAGCTTTAGAATAGCTAAAGCTTTAAATAGCTAAAGCTTTAGCTTAGCTATTTAAGAATTAGAATTAGCTTAGCTTTAGAACTAAAGTTTAGAAACTTTAGAATACAAATCAAAGTTTAATTAGATCATTGAATTCGATGAAAATTGAGAGGCTTTTGTCTCTTTTTGGCTTCGATTTTGCTTTAGCTCTTAGCCAAAATTGGTTGTTTTTATAGATTTGATTTGATTTGGACTTGATTGATTTGAACTGGATTTGATTTGATTAATCAAGAACTAGATTTGATTAATCAAGAACTAGATTTGATTAATCAAGAACTAGATTTGAGTAATCAAGAACTAGATTTGAGTAATCAAGACTGATAGTAGAATCAAGATAGACTTTAGTTTGTATCATTTAAGCTACAAGCTTAAGCTTGAAGCTACGAAGTACCCAATCAGATTGTTATCTATTACCCAATCAAATGGTTAACTTCACAAGTCAACAAAAAAAAAAAAATAAATAAAAAATTAATTTTACAAGTACCGAATCAAATTGTTAACTTTACAAGTATCCAATCAAATGGTATACTTTACAAGTACCAAATCAAATTGTTAACTTTACAAGTATCCAATCAAGTTGTTAACCATTACAAGTACCAACGTACCATTACAAGTACCAATTGTCAACTTTACAGCACCCAAATCAAGTTATTAACTACTACAACTATCACAGATCTTCGCCAAGAATCAAGCGTTTCCTCCCCGCCTGATCAACTCGTCTTTGATGGAGAGGATTCTTTCGGAACTGGAAGCTCTGTCCACACAATTCTCTACAGTAAAGATGGAGAGGTTCTTTTTTAAAATGCATGAATCTCTAGAACCATTCAGTAGACAAAAATCTAGTTCTAACTTAGTTTCAAAAAAGCTTACAAGTACCAAATCAAGGTTTTAAACTCCCAAAAATTTCTAGGAACGTGCCACTCACATCCAACGCCCTCGACCGCCTAGGAAAGCCCCTCTCGTAAACTTTTGACTTGTAAATCTTGTAAATTTGAAAATTTCAAACCATTTTCTTTGAAAGATTCTAATTTTCACTCGTGGGAATTAGTTTGAAAAAGATTTACAAGTCAAAAAATGACATCACTTTTCTATTGCTCATTTCGTAAAAATTAGTGTCTTTTTGTATGATTTACTGCTTATTTTGATAAGAAAAGAAACTTTTGTATGTTTTTTATAGTTTTCAACTATAATCTGTTCTAAAACATCACAAAAACTCTAAAAATCGATCTCAAATTAAACCGATTACAATGTAAGGGAAGGCAGCAGGCGATCTAAGGAAGGCAGCAAATTACCCACTCAATTCGAGGAGGTAGTGACAACAACGTGTCCACTTCGGTGTCATTTATTAGATTCACCAACCGCTTCGGCGTCAAGTGATGATTCTGAATATCTTGCAGACCGCATGCAGATCGTTACCGCATGTGTAAGCGGCGGCAATTCGCGAAATGAACTGCCCTATCAACTTTTGATGGTAGTTTAGTTGACTACCATGGTCGTAACGGGTAACGGAGGATCAGGTTTTGACTCCGGAGAGGATGCCTGAGAAACGGCAACCACATCTAAGGAAGGCAGCAGACGCGCAAATTACCCCACTCTCAATTCGAGGAGGTAGTGACAACAACTAACGAGACTGCTAACGAGAGAACAGTCACCGAAATGGGTGCAATTTAAACACGAGGATCAATGAGAGGGCAAGTGCCAGCAATCTGATGCCAGCAATCTGATGCCAGCAGTCTGGTGCCAGCAGTCTGGTGCCAGCAATCTGGTGTCAGCAGTCTGGTGCCAGCAGTCTGGTGCCAGCAATCTGATGCCAGCAGTCTGGTGCCAGCAGTCTGGTGCCAGCAGTCTGGTGCCAGCAGTCTGGTGCCAGCAGCCGCGGTAATTCCAGCTCTCAAAGTGTATGTCATTATTGCTGCGGGGTGAAAAGCTCGTAGTTGGCTCTGAGCCTTTGGATCTGAGCCTTTGGATCTGAGCCTTTGGATCTGAGCCTTTGGATCTGAGCCTTTGGATCTGAGCCTTTGGATCTGAGCCTTTGGATCTGAGCCTTTGGATCTGAGCCTTTGGATCTGAGCCTTTGGATCTGAGCCTTTGGATCTGAGCCTTTGGATCTGAGCCTTTGGATACTCGAGTCACTTTCCTTCATTTCCATCACCTATAAAGGATTGCGAAATCATTGAAATCAAGTCAAAACTCGATTTTATCTGAGTCATCTTTTTTTACTGATTAGATCATAAACTTTAAAATCGATCTAGGATTCTTTGTAGATCATTTGTAAAATGTAAAATGTAAAATGTAAAACTAAATGCTGACTTTCTTTCCAACCAAATGATTGACGCGTGCCCAGCTTTCCGGAAAAAAGAATTTTACGATCATTTATCGATTATTTATAATCCACTTTGTTATTTAAACTATTTAAAAATCAATTTTAAATAGTTTAAATATTTATTTCTCTATTTATTTCTTTATTTATTTCATTTTTATCTAATCTTTTTCGATTTTTTCAATCAAAAGTGAAAATTTTGGTTTCTAGGGTAATCGAAATGAAAAAAGAAATGAAAAGAAAAAGCCTTGACCTGAAAAAAAAAAACTCGCTCATTCTCTCGCAGCTAAATGGGATAAAAGGGGATGTGAGAAAGGGGAAATTAACAGAAAATCATCAAATCATTCACAACTCATTCACAAATCATTTCCTCATTTGAGTTAAAGCTTTCAAAAAATGAATCGGGTTGGTTATGTTTTAAAAAGGCTCACATCCGCAAATGAACTACATACCGTAAATACTTTAATGGTACCCCACCGCCCTCGTACAGTCGCGTAGTCATATTTTATTTTTTTCAAAGCGTCTGTACCTTCAAAGCGCTCGTACTTTCAAAGCGCGTCCGTACTTTCAAAGCGCGTCCGTACTTTCAAAGCGCGTCCGTACTTTCAAAGCGCGTCCGTACTTTCAAAGCGCGTCCGTACTTTCAAAGCGCGTCCGTACTTTCAAAGCGCGTCCGTACTTTCAAAGCGTCCGTACTTTCAAAGCGTCCGTACTTTCAAAGCGCCCGTCTTTGGTATCAAAAAATAGCCCTGAATCTCAGCTATTTTTTGATACCTAAATGCGCATTTTAGCTTAAACCAGTGTCGAGAAAAACTCGTTCAAAGCTAGAGCTACGCAACACTCCGCACCGTCATTATGGGGGGTACTATTACAGTTTTTACGGCATGTTTTTGTGTACTTTCTTCGTGTAAACACACCCATTCTAGCGCAGTTAATTCATCGTTTTTTTTCCTTCATTTCTCAAGCGTCTTACATAGTGGATAGTAGGCCAGGAAATGCGTGTTTACACGAGCATAAAGTGCACTAAATTTCTATTTAAACTCGAGTAGGCAAAGTACATCACACTTCTACGTATTTCAAGATTACAATCATTCTATCTTTTCAGTCAAAAACAGACTTGGAATGGTTCCAGCATTTGGCTCACTTCTCCGTCTTTACAAGCTTTTGTTGCCTCCTTTTTCTCTCAATCACAATTCCCGGTTTGTATCTTCGATCAATCGATGAACAAACAATGTTGCACGAAAGAGCGATGGTGTTTAAGGTGAGAGAATCTATTTAGAGATCTCTAGAGATCTATCTAGAGATCTAGAGATCTATCTAGAGATCTATCTAGAGATCTAGAGATCTATTTAGAGATCTATCTAGAGATCTATCTAGAGATCTAGAGATCCATCTAGAGATCTAGAGATCTATTTAGAGATCTATCTAGAGATCTATCTAGAGATCTAGAGATCCATCTAGAGATCTAGAGATCTATCTAGAGTATCTAGAGATCTAGAATCTAGAGATCTATTTAGAGATCTATCTAGAGATCTATCTAGAGATCCATCTAGAGATCTAGAGATCTATTTAGAGATCTTTATTTAGAGATCTATCTAGAGATCTATCTAGAGATCTAGAGATCCATCTAGAGATCTAGAGATCTATTTAGAGATCTATTTAGAGAAATTAGTATCAAAAATTTCAAGGAGATCACGAACAAGCTTTGGACGGAAAAGCTGAAACTCCAGTCAACCCTCTTTGGATCGACAATCACCTTCTTTAGTCGAGCGAAGAGACAAATTTATGATGGAGTTTGCAAGGGTGCGTTCTTTTAATAGAACTTTTAATAAAACTTATAAAGTAGCTTTTAGGGTGTGGCCCTCTTGCTTGCCCGTATGGACCCCCGGGCCCACCTGGGTTCTCGGGTTCCGATGGCATTCCGGGAGAAGCTGGAAATCAGGGGACAGCCGGCGATGATGGAACGGATGTACAACTGGATGCTGAACCGGAAATGCCTTGTGTTGTGTGTCCATCGGGACCAACTGGACCAAGGTGGGAAAATAGGAGAGAAATGACAAGCGATTGACTAATCAAGAATATCACTAATCGAATCAGCGTACGCGAAAACCCTAGGAACATTTTTTGGGAAAATGCTAGAGGCGTTTTTGAAGCCCCGCGTATATAAGGCGGTGCGTATATAAGGCGCTGCGTATATAAGGGGTGTTAGTTCGTTCAGCCAAGTCTAGTACTTGAAATCAAACTCGAAACCTGACAACCCATTTCCAGAGGAGCTCAGGGTGAACGCGGTCGTCAAGGCGGTGCTGGTACTCCGGGAGAAAAGGGCCACATGGAAATATGGGAATGGATGGAGGACCGGGATTGGCTGGAGATGCTGGAGAAGCCGGAGATAAAGGACCTGAGGGACCGACAGGACAACCGGGGAAGACAACAGTGGCCGGGATTGGAATCAAGGGGCCAAAGGGACCGCCTGGGCCCTCCGGAATGATGGGACCACCTGGGCCTGGAGGTGAAAGAAAAGCCATCTTGAATTTAATACTTTGTTTAGGCCGGTTCGGTGCATCCAGGAGAAACCGGTCCACCAGGTGCATCGGGTCCAATGGGGGCAGCTGGTCGACAAGGGCATCCAGGCAACGAAGGACCCTATGGGCCACCGGGTGACGCTGGAATGCCGGCCAGTTATTGTCCGAGTGATTGTGGGGTGTCACAGATCGTCTCCAAATATAATGCCATCGGAGAAAGCGAGGTGAAAGCTTAATAAATTACGCTTTGAAAAGCTTAGTGGTTACTGGGTGAGAATACTGTAATTCGGCTGTTTACGGGCAAAAAGTCTATCCCGAAAATTATTTGTCAATTACCGTATTCTCTCTAATAGTAGTGCACCATGAGCGTTGCCTAAAATCTGCAAAATGCGTGAAGAGTGTCCGTCTAAAACGTGTAATTTGAGAAAGCTATCGTGATCTTTTAGAAAACGAAAAGAAAACGAAACGAAAACTCTCTAGTTGCAATCAAAATCGGCAAAATCGATTAAACCAAGCTATAAAAAGCGATTTCCAGGAATGGAGATCTTGAAAAAAAACGACGAAAACAAAGTGGACGATAATCATTATTACGGAGGGCCGGCTGGGGATGGGACGAGTGGATATGGAAGACGGAGAATGATGGGATTGATGACGCACCTAGTGAGCCAACCATTCAGATTACCCGTTGAAGAAGACAACGGAGGATGGGCATATGACATGAGATGAGACAAATGCGAGATGAGGTGTGTTCACCCCAAGACATCGACTATCCTATGACAATACGCCGCCAAAAGGATATGAAAATTTGTTGAAAGATCGATCGTTTAAAGCGAAATTAGCAAGGAAAATGATGAGGAGAAAATGGCGATGAATAAGGTGTAAAATTTCCGTTTTAATTGTTTTAATTGTTTAAAATAAACCCTTTAAAAGTATCGCAGAAAGCTTAAAATTGCTAAAGAAACACACACACACACACAGCTTGAGAACAAATCTAGAATCTATAGAATCTATAGAATTTATCTATTTGAAAGCTACGAATCTCTCTCCAAGATCGGCTTCCAAGATAGTTCTCGTTTTGCTGTTTCGCTAATCAAAAAGTATCCGGAATCAATCTAAGAGGTTTGACCAATTAAATCCCAGCTCTACTTGGTAGACTCAATAAAATGAATAGCGCCAATCGATTGATTCCTCGACCCTGAAAAACCAAGCGGTAAAAATTTACAGCTGAATAGCTTCTTTGCAATATCTACAAAGCAAAAAAGAAATCCCTTTCAATGAGAGGCGAGGTGTTAATTTCGTGCGGCCGCTTTCCATCGGCCGCGTAATCAGTCTCCATCTGACACACGTCCCCGATAGATAGTCGCTCTCTTCGGCGTCTGTGGAAGAGAAAGGACCGTGTAAACCTGAGTCACCAGCGCTTGCCGTCAAAAGTCATGCGTCAAACTAAGCTAGCGTCACTACTTTGAGCCATGCCCAAACTTATGATGTCACTGGCAGGATCAATCATAAAGAAAGCATCTCCCCACAGCTCCTCTCAGACTTGCCCATCCTTGCGGAAAAGGGGCAAGTTGTGTTACACAACATTGTTTGAATAAAAACACAATATTTTTTTTCGATACTTTTTTTGTTTCCATTTACCATCCAGCTTAAAAATCTAGTGAAAAAAAGCCGAAAAGCTGAGATTCCAACGAAAAAAAAGGAGAGCAAATTGGAAAGCTCTGTCAAACTCCTCTTGTATAAACTGCTTCCCCTTTGGAATCCCCAGCGACTGGCCCCGTCTTTCTTTAAGGGTCATGATGCCAAATTTTAGCCTTAAATTTCCAAATATCAAAGAAGAAATACATAAATTTTTTTTGCAATTCCTATCTCATTCTCTAATCAATTTCTATTCCACAATTAAAGAAGAACACACATCACACACACACACACATACAAAAGATTTCATACAAAGAAAAGAGAAGCGAATTTTTCAAACTTGAACTTCTTTTTACTCAACGCGTTCCTTTACAAAAGCAAAACAGGAAAAATATTTTGAAAAAAGGAACATAAAGAACTCCAAATAAATTTTAAATCTTAAAAATACTTACAATAGATAAGGCTTATCCGTAACAAATAAAAAACCTGTTTCCTGCTCACAACAAAGAAAAGAAAACATTGAAATCGAACGAAAAGCTAACGGTTAAGCTTTTGGAAAAATTTCCCCAACTTTACAAAGAAAATAATAGATTTAACTGAATACCTCGTGGAATTGAATGAAAATAGAAACAAATCAAAGTATTACGTTCTCAATCTATGCTAATTTTTTGTTAGCGTAGGGTTCAACGTTGTTTGAATCGAGGTGCTGTGGTTGGAGCCCATCTGGAATCAATATTTATATGGGGTTACGGGTGGCTTTTGTATGTCTGTCTGTCTGTCTGTCTGTCTGTCTGTCTGTCTGTCTGTCTGTCTGTCTGTCTATCGGAAGCATCGTTCAAGGGTTACTGACATACGGTAGATAGCATTCCTTCAGCCTTAACGATACTTGTCTTTTGCTCCAAAACGACTCTTCAACATTTAACCATTTATAGATCATGTAAATATAGATAGTTCAATCTCGGAGTCTAGTCCTAACCCTATCGAAGACTATTGATGAATCAAAATGATATCGTTTACTGGTAAGACCTCGTTATCCATGTCTACTTACTGGTATTACTGTTGTATCAACAAGGATAAGCAGCTTTCATCTATGTTTAATAAAATATAGATAATAGCATAATAGAATTTATAAAGATAATATTTTTCCAAATACCCACCTAAACAGCGCCTGATATCGAGCCTTCCCCTCATCGAACCTCGCGACGAACGATCCAATTGTACTCCCAATGCTCGTCCTTTATCCAACTAAAATTTTAAGTTTCAAACCTTTTGTCATTTCTTAATATTTCTCAAATCATCAAACCTGTATTGGACGAAAAAGTCGTCCCGGATTTCGCTTCAATCGCTCATTGCTGTTCCAAACCATCGGATTAATACCGAGTTGGATCACTTCTAGAAATTTGGACTATTAGTTCACTGCTTTTTCATCTAAAAATCACTATTTGGAAGTGATGAATTTCTAATCTTCTTCTCCTCTGAATTCTGAATTAACTTCTTCTCCAATCTTACTTTGTCAATCGAATCGCTCCTGCTTGCTCAGTCAACAATGTAATATCAACATTCTTTTCCGGAGATGATTCCACCGATCCACCCTGGCTTTTCGAATCGATCTTCCTGGTGGAGTCTCTGATGATCTTCCGCCTTCCCACAAGTTAGAATCACGTGGCTGGCAATTGATCGGATTTTTACGTAGTCTGGGCTAAAAAACATGTGTTGTTGAGCTAAAACAGAGGCGAAACTTATAGCTAAATCTCTAGGTTAGTCGGACATTTCGATACGCTCCATTGGCGATACATATTTCGGCTAGGAAAAATGTTTCATATGCCTTTGTAATCTAACATTGAGCTCAAATTTCTTGGTGTTGAGCTGTCCAATTTCAATATTCGTGGTATCATTAGACGCGCTAAGTTTTCCCCTGTCGATTGGTATAAAAACCATTTAAATTGCACAGCCCAACACGAAGATATTTGTGTTCAAAGTTGGATTGCCATTGGCAAAAGGGGGAAGCGTGTATCAAATGTCCTACAATCAAATCTCTATGGCATCCTCCTCAATTGTAAATCCTGAAAACCTACTGTATAATAAAGCACCCTCTGACGATAACCTGCATAGAGCCAGTTTCAGTTACAAGATCTAACAAGTTTCAAACCCATTCATCTTCCGTAAAAGTTCCATCGATTTCAAGCGTATGTGAAGAGCTCTCAGCCAAAGGTGGACAAGCGCTTTTCCAGTCGACGCTCTCTTTAAGTGTTCCGAATTCGATTATAGCTTTGCTGCTTCCTGTTTGATATCGACCTTTGTTCTTCGATTCCTGAAATGAGATGATTTCTGGCTAGTTAGCATGAGTTTTAAATTGATTCAGTGCAATTTGATTCACTATCAGGCTAGGTGATTCGTCAAAAAGATTAAAGCAAATCCTCGTTGAGCTCTGCTGTAATCCAGAGGGTATTTTTAACTGGTTGCTGATCTTTAGAGGGTACCTCCAATGTTGTCCTAAAAAGTTCTATAAAATTTTCTATATGAGTAAAATAGAAGATAGGAAAGAATTTTCTAGCGTAAAAATAATTCTGAAAAATCTAATTTTGTAGATTTTGACTTTGGGAAAATTTTAGAAAACATTTTAAAAGTGATCTTTTTGAAGGGGACAGAACTTTCACGCAATCCTGTATTTATATTCATCTCTAACGCCCACCTTCCACGGCAGTTCTCCACAACAAAAGCTCATCAACAATATACGCGAAACTTCAATATCATCTCTTGTTGACTCAACTCGATTCTGAGATGAGAATTGAGCGACGCTTACTTGCCTGTTCCGACGAGGTTTTTTCCCTTTCGATGCGGGAATATGCACAAGGTTTTCACCCGTCTCGATACCTAAAAATATATTATATTTCCTGGTTTGACAAATCATTTGTTTAACTCTAAGCTTTTTGTCCCAACGCTTTCAGCTTCTTCAAACTGCTCAATACTTCAAATAAACAAAAACCGACATCCCCTCGCTAACCAAAATTGATCAAAAACAATATCCTTTCATCTTCCTCAATACCGATCAGGAAATTCTCAGGTTTCAAATCTCGATGAACCCGAGTCCCCTTCCGTGTAAACCATTGCAATCGAGAGATCATCCTTCACCCAATTTCAAGATTGTCCGAAAAAGAAAACGATAGAAACGAGAGAAAATGATAGAGCTTCCTTTCCTACTCACTTTGTCGACAAAATGTTCGATCACAATATGTAAAGAGATTCTCAAGACTCTGGTCCCAACAAACTCATCACCATCATCCGTTGGCCGTAGTCCCCGCCAAACCAAAACACTAAAAATGGAGTGATATTAAAAGACGATTGGGTAATCGAGCCATAATTTATCGAATAATCGAGGTAATCGAGCAGTGTTGAGTGCGTCAGAAAGGGTGGTTTGTAAGTACAAAGCACGTAAAGTTCAATAACTTGCTTATTCTACTTTTACAAGTTCTAGATCTATAACCTTTCTAGCTCTTTATCTACATCTAATCGAATCTAATCAAATCTAATCGACCCGAATCTAAGCACAAACCACGTAAAGTCCAATAGCTTGTTTATTCTACTTTTACAAGTTCTAGATCTGTCTAATATCTAGCTCTTTGTTTACATCTAATCAAATCTAACCTTTCGGCACTCCATGTATCCCATTCGGTTTTCTTCGTTTCTTCCTCGGTCCACCAGAGAGAACTTTGTACACATCGAACTCGTACTTCAAATGAGCATCCTCATTGGCTAAAAATTGATCTATTAAATATAAATATAAATAAATATATCTAATAAATCTAAATAAATGTTTAAGTGAAGTGTATCCTGTTTTACATCCCCATGCCAATTGACCTAACCATTTTGAATTTATAATATTATTTTATCTACTTAATGCATATGTTTATCTAATCTACGCTTGAGCCAAAACTATAGCCTAAACATTTCTTAAATCTCAATCTAAAGACATGATTTTAAAGTAGTCCTAACTTGAGTGCACAAAACGCGTGGGGATGCATAAGAGGATAGTACCTAATAAATCTATCTAATAAATAGGAACAAAGCTATCTATTAAATATAAATAAATAGCTCAAATAAATAGCTCAAAAAAAATAGCTCTAATAAATAGATCTAATAAATCTCATCTAATAAATCTATCTATTAATCTAATAAATCTATCTATTAAATATAAATAAATAGATCTAATAAATCTAATCTATCTATTAATCTAATAAATCTAATCTATCTATTAATCTAATAAATCTATCTATTAAATACAATAAATAAAACTTACAAGTCTCAAATTTCACGGCCACCAATTTATTCTCGTTTTTCAAATCTTTCGCCGAGTAGATCGTCCCGTACGAGCCGAAGTTGATCTTTTGAATGACTTGGAATCTAAATTTTAGAGTTAATAATGTTTTATCCCATTTAAGCCTTGATTTCGCATTTAAGTACACCAGAAATGGTGTGCTTATGAGCACAAAGTAATGCTAAGCATGTCCATATTAAAATTAACATAATATTAACTTACCGATTATTGATAACCAATCCGATTTTCGCTCGAATCGCATTCGATCGATCCATATCCATCACGGCATTGTTCCACGAATCAAGATTTGAAGATGGCGTTAGCTGAATGGTTGTTTTGATTGTAAAGTAAGTACCTATATGGCATGTTATTACTAATAAGTACTCAATGAAATGTTTACCGGTTGTCCATCGGGTCCAATCAGCACATTTTGTCTTTGTGGCGTTTGGACGAACATCATCGAGTCCTAGAATTGTAAATGACACAAGAATGACACAAGAACTTGCATTTTGCGACACAAAAACACAAGAACTTGAATTTTATGACACAAAAACACAAGAACGACACAAGAACAACACAAGAACTTGAATTTTGTGACACAAAAACACAAGAACCTGAATTTTATGACACAAAAACACAAGAACTTGAATTTTATGACACAAAAACACAAGAACGACACAAGAACTTGAATTTAGTCTAGTTTACAGGTAAAGTAAATGCATTTAAATGCTTTGAAGAAAGTTCTATCTAATATTGAATCCAAAATAAACATACGGGTTGCTGAAAGATCTGTTGTGGATGAACACATTGTCAGATTGGTAGGATGTGTTGTGAAGGGATGGAGGTGAGTACATTTGAGATATCATCGCTGCGCCATTCGGAAATGAGACTGGTGAGGGCAAAGGGGAGAGGTACTAGAAAATTGAGGATTTTTCTTCAAAGAGTCAACATGAACAGAACTTGTCATCGCTAACTAAAAGACTATTAACTAACAATGACCTAACGGAAACCTAATGATCTAAAAAACTTTAGATCTAGTGGTGCCTTAATAGAAATGAAACGACTAAAGATTTTAATCAGATTTTAATTCTTATCAAGATGCCTAGTGCCATAATTATACTAATAGAAGCATCCCTCCTATAACGACGGCCAGAGCGTCACGTAGTCTAACTTTAAGCGCCTCGTTCTCAGCGCCGTTTTATGCTACAGTGTGCGCTCAAGTATCAAACAATAACCCCGAATCTCAGCTATATTTTGACACCAATCTTATATTTTTGAAAGTACGGGCGCTTAGAAAAAATGAATTACTGGGGAAGAAGCTAGAAAAATCTTACGACTACGCAGACTGTACGGGGGGGGGTGCTTTTAATAGATATAATTAGGAGAATCCCTTTCAAAACCAACCATCGTTTGTCCTCCAGAAGCACTCTGCACAAAGTATCCCTTGGATTGCGGGGGGGATTGGAAAGCGGCTTGTGGTGATAAGCAGTGATGAGACAATTGGGGTGGATGAAGAGCTGCTTGGATGGGTAAAACGGGTGGTGGAGGTGGGGGAGAAGTGAAGAATTGTTGTTGATGGGGAGGAGGGTGGGAGAGGTGAGTGCCGGGAATCATTGACGACATCGATGATGGCTGCTGGAACATCAGGATTTGACCGGATGGCGGTGCCTGAAATCAATCTAGACTTGCTTCGTTTAATTACTCAAATTTTATCTCGTAATTGTATCGAAATGTACTCAAATTGTATCGAAAAAAATGATTGGGGATCGTAAGACGCGGTATTTCGCAGATTCAAATGGAAATCTCGACTAGGAAATCTGTTGATTGGGGTTTTCTTTTGAAATGTCGTCATTTTCAAAAGAATCTCTTGTCATTCTTGTCAATTATCCCCCGAGTGAGATCTCCAACAATATAACAATAGCCAATGGGGGAATAGCCTGAGGAATAAAAAGGAAATGGGGAATTTCGAAAGTAAAAGGAAACGATTGGGCTAAAGTTACATCATAGAATTGATGGTTTAGATTGGTTTAAAAAGCTTAAAGCAGCTTAAAAGACAGCTTAAAGCAGCTTAAAGCTCGCCTCAACTCGATAAAAATGGTTAGAGGCAATACCAGTAGCTACGGAAAGCAAAAGATCTAGGGTTCAATCTCCTCTCCAGATATCTACTTTTTCTTTATTACAAGAAGCTACCTACAAAGCATCCAAACATCAATCATTAGCAGTCTTAACCCAAAAGCTCATCTCATAAAAGCACATGACATTTTCTAAGTCAACCACCAAAATAACGTCATTTAGTTATCAATAACAGTAACAGCTAGCAGCCATTTAGTTTCAGTGACAGCTAGCAGCCATTCAGTTCCAATGACAGCTAGCAGCCATTTAGTTTCAGTGACAGCTAGCAGCCATTCAGTTCCAATGACAGCTAGCAGCCATTTAGTTTCAGTGACAGCTAGCAGCCATTCAGTTCCAATGACAGCTAGCAGCCATTTAGTTTCAGTGACAGCTAGCAGCCATTCAGTTCCAATGACAGCTAGCAGCCATTTAGTTTCAGTGACAGCTAGCAGCCATTCAGTTCCAATGACAGCTAGCAGCCATTCAGTTCCAATGACAGCTAGCAGCCATTCAGTTCCAATGACAACTAGCAATAGTATCATCGGAATTCTAATACTATATTTAGAGTCCAGAAAAAGTTTTTACCTGACTCTGCCCGTGCCACGGTGCCGGTGGTGGTCGACTCATATCAGGCGGGGAAACAATCGATAGCGGTGGATGGGATTGAGACAGAATGAATGGGGGAATGAGTGGTACATTTCTTCCATTTTGAAATGTTTGATGTTGGTGTGTCTGGAGTGGAATTGGATGGTGATGAGTGAGCACTCTTCCCATTAACATCGATCCACCCAGGGTCCCTCCGTGCACTGTTTCATAGCTGAAATTCGAAGAGTATTTGATGGAATACTTTGAAAAAAATGTAGACTGTTTAGATTTTGATTTAGATGTATATATATATATATTTATAAAGCTTTTTTGATAGCTTTTAAAATTACAAAGCTAAAGGCTAAGCTTAATCAAAACTATATAGAATCAGTAGACCCCTAAAATGGCTATAATTAGAAAACCTATTTGAATATCTAAAAGTTTACTACGTTACTTTTTGATAGTACTTTTATACGTTACTTTATAGTACTTTATACGTTTATAAACTTATCTACCTTTCTATAAGCTTTTAGATTTTAGAATACCGTATTTTCTCTAATATTGGATTGGTGAATTGAAAACTATTTTTATATGTGACAGTTTGAGCACTTTCTTCAAAAGAAACTCACTTTGGTGTCAATGGAAAGTTGGCCAGAGGATCGAAAATCAAGCTTATATCCAAATTTTCAAAACGATTCAAAAACTGTGGTTTTCAAGAAGTGTCAAAATTACAAATTTTCACAAAACTTGCATTTAAGCGAAACTACTAAGTGTATCTTTTGGAAATTTTGGCTATCAGCCTCATTTTTTTATTCTCTACAACTATAGGCACCAAAATGGGTTTCTTTTGAAGAAAGTGCTCAAACTCTATCGGTTTTATCAGCTCCAGTCCTCCATTTTTTGAGTCTCACACTTGTCTCACACACAAACCAAAATCAAATCAAATCAATCCTACTACGAAAGAGGAATCCGCAAATTGCCTGTAAAATGGGCAGAAGTCGTCAACAATAATGGAAATTATTTGGATTCATGGTTTTATTTTCAATAAGAATTTTAGTTCAAAGTCCCAAGTTCAAAGTTTTCCGATTCACCAACCCAATAGTTGTGCACCCGGCCGAGCCGAGTTGACGACTATTTTACGGTTTCCAAGTTTTCACAGAAGCTCAACACTCAAATCCCCCACTAGATCTCATCGTCAGCTACATTTTCCGACCCCAGCATCGATAGGTTCTGATAAGCTTGTTCCCCTCGAGATTTCCGAGCAATTTAGGCGACGCTCATGGTGCACCCCTACTATTAGAGAAAATACGGTAATACTAATAAATAAAATCTGAACCCCAGAAATCTATTTCTGGGCGAGTATCAACTTGTCCGTTTCGCTAAAGTTCTATTTGAGCTGAAAAAGCGTTCATTTCCGTTCAATTAGAGTCAGATTTAGAAGATATTCATTCAGTCAGATTAGAGATCTAGAATTTTATGTTTTTATATATTTTATATAATTATAGATATAATTTATATGATTATAGATATAATTTTTATATATTTAATATAATTATAACTATAATTTCCTATATCAAACTTCTATAGCTTATATAACTTCCTATATGCAATGGCCTATGTCCAATATTCCCCTATATCCAATTCCCCTATATGCAATTCTCTATATCCAATTCCCTATATCCAATTCTCCTATATCCAATACCCTATATCCAATTCCCTATAATCCAATTCCTCCTATATCCAATCCCCTATATCCAATACCATATCCCAACTCCTATATCCAATTCCCTATATGCAATTCCCTATATCGTTTCACATAATCCATTTCTATAATCCAATTCCCTATATCCAAGTTCGTCCTATATCCAATTCCCTATATCCAATTCCCTATATCCAATTTTCAGCCTCTATATGCAATTCCCCTATATCCAATTCGTCGTTCTATATGCAATTCCCTATATCCACTCCTATATTATCAATTCCCTATATCCAATACCCTATATCCAATTCCCTATATCCAATTCCTATATCCAATTCCCTATATCCACTCCCCTATATCCAATACCCTATACCAACATCAATACTCGCTCACCTATGCATTCTAGTGCTCTCCTAACCGTTGGCGTTGGGGCGAGGGTTCCAAGAATTCCTCGGAAAGAATTCCAAATTATTTTCCAACATCTAAAAGTGATTTAGTTAAGAGTATATTTTAATTTATTCAAATTGATTTAGAAAAAGAATCGCATTGTTTGTGGGCAATGGGATTCACACCACCGAGGGGGCGCTCGGCCCCAACGCGAGATTAAATGGACCTCAGCCGGTTGGTCGGCTACGGTAGAAAGGGCAACGAATAGAGGAAATGTTCGAGCCAATAACACAAACTACGACCGAAATACAGCTAACACTCTTTCATTCGAAAGAAGATACACGTTGAGTTGACGAAAGATTGTCATTTTGGGCGATTTTCTGGCATTTTCAGGCAATTCCCTCATCGTTTTTTATCGTTTTTGTTAGAAAATTTAAAAAAAGCACTCAATTATTGATTTTTTCGAAGAATTTTTATAAAAATCGAATTTTTTGATTGAAAGCCTTTGACTTTCTAAAGAATTTTTTCATTTTTGACTTTTAATTTTGAAGAATTAAGCAATTATCGATTAAATCGAATACAGCTCTTTGAATACAGGTCTTTGAATACAGCTTCTTGAATACAGCTTCTTGAGTACAGCTCTTTGAATACAGCTCCTTGAATACAGCTCTTTGAATCCAGCTTCTTGTATACAGCTCTTTGAATACAGCTTCTTGAATACAGCTCCTTGAATACAGGTCTTTGAATACAGCTCTTTGAATACAGCTCTTTGAATACAGCTCTTTGAGTACAGCTCTTTAAATATAGCTCCTTGAATACAGCTCCTTGAATACAGCTCCTTGAATACAGCTCTTTGAATCCAGCTTCTTGAATACAGCTCTTTGAATACAGCTTCTTGAATACAGCTCTTTGTCTTTTTTAATCCTTTTTCTTTATCCTTTTTCTAAAGTAAATCAATTTCTATCAATCAATCAATTTCTAGATAAAATGGATCGAAAAGATTCGGCGAATCTCTCTTCGTCGAGTGAAGAAAATCATGGTGAAGCTCTTCTCGTTGAACCGGAGCAATCAATCGATGAAATGCTTTTCGCGGATCCAGCACTTGAACCAACGGAATTTGAGAAGCAACAAGCCGAGGATCCGTTTCTTCGACCGATCGCCGACGAGCAACAACAGTTTTATTCAGGTAACACGCGGATTGCTCGACGAAAAAACGTCGATTAATCGAGTAAAAATTACTCATGCAGATTTTACTCGAGTAAATTACTTACTCGCGAGGAACACACTCTAGTCAAAGTGCCCCAATCCCTCGTACAGTCGCGTAATCGCCGTATTTAGTATTTCATTTTTTCAAAGCACCCGTACTTCCAAAATGTCTTTGGTATCAAAAAATAGCTGAAATTCAGAGCTATTTTTTGATACCTAAGCGCGCATTTAGCTTAAACCAGTGTCGAGAAAAACTCGTTCAAAGCTAAGAGCTACGCAACACTCCGCACCGTCATTATGGGGGTGAGGTACTATTACAGTATTTACGGTAGTTAAGCGCTCAATTCATAGCCAGATTTCACATTAAAAGCCAAATTTCAGACGATGACACGGGTCGTGCCGTCACAAACCTCATCATCTTCCTTCTAATGTTCACAACGCCATTCATCGTCATGTATTTGACGTATCAATTCCTCTTCATCGATCACTTTCATTTGAGCTCGAAACGGCGATTCTTTATTCGGCTCTTTGTGCGATCGTTTCTGTTTTAACGATCGTTATTTGGTTTGTGAAAACGGCATATAATGAAGAGGTTGAAGCAAAGAAAATATTGGATGCTGGACAGAAGAAAAGCGATTGAAATCGGTGCGAATGAAAGGTGAGACTGACTTGATTTTCATTTAAAATCATTTGCTCATTCGAGTGCTAAATAGAAAGCACAAACAAATCGTCTCTACCGTAGTCTATTTTCTATTGTGCACGATTTTGATCGAAGTCAAGATTCAAGTTTAGTCAAACATTTTTGGTGTTTAAAAGCTACTTTTTCGACCATATACTTTTACAGTGCTCTATTTGCGAACAATTCTGATGAACTAGTAGCATTCATTAGGTTTAGGCTTAGGCTCAGACTTAGGCTCAGCTTGGGCAGGCTAGGCTCAGGCTTAGGCCGCCAGGCTTAGGAGAGCTCATGCTCAGGCTTAGGCTTAGGCTCAGGCTTAGGCTCATGCTCAGGCTTAGGCTTAGGCTCAGGCTTAGCTCATGCTCAGGCTTAGGTTAGGGCTTAGGCTTAGGCTTCCTATAGCACTTGTTTCCCACAAATAGACCCTTTAGTAAGGAAAAATTTTTCAGAAACTTGTACAACACGTGAAGAGACGGGCCAAGTCTTTCAAATTTTAAATGGATCAGTCATTAAAAACTTTAACAAATTTGTACTCTAAGATTCCAAAATCTTGCTTTTCTTTAGATACAAAATCTAATTTTAAAATTCACTTATCCCCGATCACTTTTGTCAAGCCAACCCATTTCTACGATCTTTGCTCAACTTCCAAAAATTTCTTCAGAAACTTCTATATCGCAGATTTTAGCTCTTAGTACAATTTCTGAACCCCCAGATTTCATTGTTATTTCTTTTTCCATACATGAAACGATTTTTGACTTTTGATTCCAAAACGTTTGCACTCATTCACAATAATCACTAACACTGTACAAACAAGGAGGAATAAATCACACAAAGAAGTTCAACTCAACATATAACATGACAAATGGTAGAAAGGCTGAAAAGTTGCTATATTCGATTCAGGTATGCGAGCAGGTACCGGAGTCAAAAAAAAAGTTTCAAAAGAAGGAAATCAGGAATGGAAAAACCCGTTATAAACAAAGCTGCAGCTACAGTGAAACTACATACGTGTTAGGTAGATAAATGGTATGTACAAGTTAAAGAGGTAAAAATTGATACAGAGTTAAAGCAAGGGGAAAATTTTTAGACAAACAGTCTACGAGCGCCAGCGCTTCGGAAAAAGGCTGACAGGGGAAAATTTTAAAATGAAATTAAACAAATTTCTAAAGTTTTACGGTTTTCGTTGGGGAAATGTTTGTCATTTGGACTAGGGAAACAAATTAAAAGCTCACTGAGAATGCTTACGTTGGAAAAACCAGGCTGGGATTTAGATGAACATAAAGAATATAGGACACGATATATGTAAGTTGGGGGTTAGTGACAGCAAATGGGCGAAATTGGCTATGGATAGAATGGCCGTACCCGCGTGGAGAACCCTTAAAAGAATCAGTTTCCAAGTTTTCAAATAGAAACTTCAGTCGTCTTGTCTAGCAAAGTCTAACAACTGAGCTGACAGCTATCAAACAGCAATCACTTCAACCAACCATCGAAGCATTGGAGATCCTGAGTAGAGAGTGTGGAGCCATCATCGCTCCTCTTCTGAAGACCATATTGAGATTTACTGCCTTGCGAATCGTTCGAGCTGACGGAGTAGGAACGAGGCCTGAAAGAAGAAAAATGAATGTCGAAAATGGGTATTTTCTTCTAATGAGCTTAATAGTTCAAGATATCATTACTGCTAGACGTTACTATTCACACAGCTAGCAAAGTAAAAGACACTTAATGAAAAACTAACCCTATCTGACAAATCCTTATTTGGTGTGGAAATATTTGTCGTTGAAGAACAAGACGAAGCTGTATCCGATCCATCCGATAGTGAAGTAGTCGAAGAAGAGTTTGTTGATGAGACGACACGGAATGATGGATGGTACGCATAGAAGTTGAATACGCGACGATAACTAAAAACTAATCATTATGAAGTTCAACTTATAATTAAACTCAAATCGATTAAAAATGTTTATGTAAATAACTGCAAAGCAAACTCACATAGAATAGTATCAGTGTTGGTGGCAAGTCGTACCATCAAACCATACGATTTTTGCCTCACAACGCCACCTGAACTTAATATTTAGTAAGGCAAAAGATAGTCATTAGAAGTATTCAACTTGGGTTAAAATGAATAAATTACCGTCCGAATTGAGCTCTCAAATCTTTTTTGCAGTGAATCGAGTCCCTCTTCAACAATCACTTCAAGGACAATTTCTTCAGGATAACGTGGAGGTGGATCCATTCCTGAAAAGAAATCATAGTTAAGAACAACTATGTTGTCGAACAATTACTTACCAAGTAAGTTAATGTATGGAATGCACAGAAGTGGAACAGGAATCCGACACGCAAATGGGCGGAACCGTGTATAGAAGAGTTCGAAATGGGAGAGGGCTTGGATTTCCACTAAAATACACGTGATTATTGCGTTTTAAGGACACTTTCAAGAAGTCAAGTGCATATTACCACATGCTTATCCTATTCAAACGAACCTTGGTTTAGCAATGAGATGACCCAATTTCACAAAGGCTTGCCCGGTCACCAAAGCATCATAGGCCGCATTGTGAAAGGTTGTTCCTAAAATGAGAAATGTAACAGCATGACCTGACAATAAACTACGTTTATATTTATTCCGTCGCGATGCCCCTTCCAGTAACCGAAAATCCGTGTGGGAATACTCAAATGTTGGAAAAGTGCCGAGTCGACTTGGGGCCTCACTAAAAAAAAAATTTAATTACTCACAATTTTGAAGTCAACTTCTTCTTGAACAAAGCGAAGCCTTTTCGCAAAATGAGCTCAAATTCTCTAAACGAAAGTCGACGATTCCGTGCCAGGACAATTGCTAAACAAAAAACTAATATATAAAGCCTGACTTTAGTTACATTTTTGCTTTCTTCCGCCAAGATCTTTGTGTCGATGACAATCGGGAAAACGGCAGTCGCAACTTCTTTGAATTTCTCGTAGTCATCTAAAGTTGGAATCGTTGTATTTTGAACAATAATAAAAAATCATTCAGTTTTCTCTCTTTAATATTTGTTTGTTTTATACAGTAAAACCCTTACCAGGCAAAATCTGCAATAAAATGTTGAGTACAAGTAAAGGAGATCAAAGAGACAATTGTGGCCGATGATTGGCTAAAAGTTAAAACCCTATTGAAAAAGTTGAGATTTCACAAACCAGCCGATTCTCAATAATTGCCATTACAATGTCCGATGCACCGGCCAATTCATTCACTGCTCTAAAATGAAGTTTTTAAAAACAACACAAAACAAACGTTTTCAGTAGATCGGCCTTCTTTTCTTTTACTTCGTCAAGAGATGGGCGGACTGGAGAACAAATGAGCTAAAAGAAAACAATTGAGTCGTTGCAGAAAGATATGCTTGATCTTTACTTACTCTAAAGTTATAATAGGTTGTGCAAGATCAGGAAGTGCATTTTAACTTCAAAATCAATTACCAAATTTCCAGTGATATCCAGTCGAATCCCCGGTACCGTTGCGTACAGTTTGTGAGAGCAAAAGAGGGTTGTGAAGAGGGCTCATCTCAGTCTCACCGATGAGGGGATGTGAAATTCTTCCCAGATTCTAAAATTTCAGATCAAGTTTACCGTTTGTGGTTCATAATATTTTTCGCCTAATGAACTTGAGCGCTTACAAATCTCTTGCTCCCCTCGCTCCCGGTCGTTTTGCGTCGAATTTTAGCCAATTTTGAGTGGAGAATCGATTGAATATGCTCGAAGAGTGATTGAAATTCATGCGAGAAGTACCTAAACCAAATTTTTAATAGTTTGTTGATAATTTTATGCCATAGTTATTGCACCCACCAAGCTTTACAATTTATTAAGGATTTAATAGAAATGTCCCCTTGACTAGTGTACATTTGAATACACTATACATATGTATAGTGTATTCATTTTTAATAGATAGGCGCTAAGGTTTCTCATCTTTTAGCAACGAAAATACATTCCTTTTTGATATGACTAATTCCAAAACGTCGATTCCCGCCGGTCGTTTGTCATTGCGCGCCAAAAGGAACGCTGCGGTGGAAAAACCGGCCGGTCACGCCGCTCAGGAAATTCCCTCTGGGCAAACAGTTTCACGAATTGAAATCATTTTATATTTGTGTTGGAAAGAAAAAAATCCAGGTTTAAAGCATGTTATCACTTTTCATTTAAAAATAGTAAAATATACCGAGCCGTGTCATTCTTTTTGATGTCAATTCGTCGAGCGCTTTCTTCTGCTCATCCAAATCTGTAGATGAGAAACACCCTCCGAAATCAACTAAAAAAATATGTAAGAAAATCTGCAGCATTCAACAAAATACCTTGTTAAAATCGAAGCCATGTGATTCGAGAAACCCAATGAAGCAACGGAGAACGAACATTCGTGTCGGGAGAGGCCATTTTTGAAGAGGAACACATAGACATCGACTTTGTATCCAAACAATCTTTTAAAATTTGCAAACTTTAAAATCGTACTTGAAGCCCGAGTCGTGTGCTGTAAAAAATGCGATGCCGAGTTGAATGGGTGGGAATCGCTGCACAGAGGCCCGCTGCTTTCGATATCTGAACAATAAATCATTGATGGATATTCAAAACATAAAAATCCTTGTTCAGATCTGCCACCAATCTATTAAATTTTTCCAACAACTAAAGGGGAAGTCTCTGTTGTTTTTGTTGACACAAAATGCTTTCAAATTAAAGAGCAAATGATGACGTAAGATTGTCAAAAATTTTGCAGCCCCCCTTGAGCAAAAGTGATCGAGACTTGGTAATTGATCGAGCAAAGTAACAAAATAAATAATTTTCGACTCACCTATCCGCGGGAGAATCGAAAAGCGGGCATTTTAGAGTCGAAACCCTCCGGGTCGAGGCCCAAAAACTCGACGTCAACAGCAAAAGAAAATGTAAACGCAGAAGTTAAAAATTTACACAATTTTTACGAACTTTATAAGAAATTTTGCCAAATCGTCAAAACTTGCCAACAAACGAGGCCTTCTTTTCACCACATTTTCGAGGTCACGATAAATCTCCTTGAAGTTATTGCATGTTATTTCCATACAATAAGTTGTTACCTAAATGAAAAAAACTTTATAAAAATCAGGTTTCCAATGAAGATTTGCGAAAAGCAACGAAATTTCGATTTTTTTCGAAAAATTGCGAGCTTAGGGGAATTGCGATGGGAAAACGCGTGTCGATCTAAACAATTCTAAAAAAACGAAAAGATTACAGTAGGAGGAAGGCGCGCGATGGGACCGGAGAAAGCCGATTAAGAAAAGAGGAACACCTGGTGGGAATTTTTTGCCCGATAAGTCTGTCTAAAAGGCGGCTAGTACTCCTACGCGAGTACTTAGAATGTATTTTTGAAAAATGATCTGAGGAGTGTAAAAGAGTCACGTACAGATTCTTGGTAAAGGCTTCTGCTACCTAACAAAATAAAGGAACCTTGCATGAAGGTTAGCCCGCAAATGAGATGCTAGCTTGTATATATGTTGCGTCCAAATCCGGAGCAACACGTCCTGCTCCGAGTCGGACGTCCGAATCCGAATATTTTTGAAACACGATTCAAACTTTGGATTTCTCCAAAAGTGTGGCCTTTGAGAATCGTTCGCTTTTCGTCCACTCAAGTAAACAGTGAAAGTATGAGGGATCTAGAGTTTCTAAAAGAAATATTTCAGAGACGTAATTACAAATCGAACCTTGAAAAAAGTGTAGTTTTTCAAAGAATGCTCGGATTCGGACGTCCTACACGGAGCAGGACATTGTGCATTTCAGGGACACCTTTCCCGCTTGGATTGTTTCAACAGAAAAATTGACATTGCACCTCCCCCACTAAAACCGTTCACTCTGTACCCGTGTCCGTTTACGCCTTTCTGATCTATCACCAAAGTATATCATTCCACTCCCTGCCGACATTTTCCATTTGATTCATAGGGGTGGGACAAATGCGGACCTTTTTTTCTGCACCTGGACATTTGCGCACCTTATTCCTGGAAAAGGCCTTAGGAAAGGTCGTAGAGCTTCAAAAGTGTTTTCATAGAAAGGGAATCGTATGCGTAGATTCCGAATTTCGACAAATCACCTCGCTGACACGTCAAATTTGGGCTAAAAGGCAAAAACTGCGGAAAAGCGTTAAGTTGCGTAGTTTTGCCTTTTAGCCCAAATTTGACGTGTGTCAGCGAGGTGATTTGTCGAAATTCGGAATCTACATACGATTCCTTTCTATGAAAACACTTTGAAGCTCTACGACCTCCCTAAGGCCTTTTCCAGCAAACAAGGTGCGCAAATGTCCATGGTGCTCAAAAAAAGGTCGCATTTGTCCTACCCATTTATTCATATTAGGCTATCCAGAAAGTCTTTTGGTTCCTTTTTCATTTGTTGGTTTTAAACGGAAGTACGAAAAGGCTTTCTGGACAGCCTGATATGAAGATGTCAATATCTAATTTTTTTTTGTTATTGCTGCTGGAGTTGAACAATTGAAAGCTTATGTTACACAAAAACTCAATCTTTTGCTAAAGGACCTCCAGCGTCACTCTTTTTTCAGCGTGACCCTGGTTTGCACCAGACAGAATCGACCCTAAAACTTTAAAATTTAATGCAATTGCACTTAGCGTTGGCATTTCTACCAGTGGCAATAATTAACCTCTTCTCCCTTGGATCTACATTTTTGTCAAATTTAATGCCCATCCACTACCCTTTACTTGGTAACCATCAGATCACTTTTTTTTTTGTTTTTACCTTATTTTACTTCAACCTAATCATTATTTTTTAGGAAAATGGTCCTCGTTTCGGGCAAAAAGCTGAAGTTGGTCAAAAAGAGGGCTCGCCGTTTCACTCGTCACGAGTCGGACAGATATCTACGCATTCGACCGAACTGGCGACGACCCCATGGCATCGACAATCGAATGAGACGCCGATCCAAGGAACAAGGGAAATGCCCAACATCGGTTATGGAAACAACAAACAAATCAAGCACGTCCTTCCCTCCGGCTACCAGAAGGTCCTCGTTCACAACCCAAAGGTATTATTTGTTTTTTAGAACTTTATATTACATGGTAATATTCATATTTGGCTGGAAAATAGCAAAAACCAACGTTTCTAAACCAAAAAAACGTCTAAACGTTCCCTTATTTTGCAAATAATTGATTGAACGTGTACAAGCTATGGTTATAGCTTGATACTTTCAAAAATCAAATTCTATTTTTTTAATTTTCTTCGATTTTAAACAATGTGTTTAAAATGTGCTTGCAAAGTTTTTTTTTATTCTAGCAACAATTATCTGAAGGAATTATTTTCAGATATAAGGTAGCTGATCTAAAGACGTAGGCTGTAAAAAGGGATGATTTTATTTATTATCTTTTTTAGGAACTTCGAGATGCTCTTGATGCAAAACCAAAAGTATGTGCTGAAATCGCTCACGCTGTTGGTGCTAAGAAGAGGAGAGACATTGTCGAAAGAGCAAAACAACTAAACATCAAATTGACCAATGGTAACGCACGAATTCGGACTGAAGAAAATGAATAAGGTGTTAAATAAATGTTTTTGGTTATTTATGATGAATCTTTTCAGATTTTTCGCGTTTTATAATTAATATTGAGGAAATTTTAAAAGTACCCCAGTGGGGAGAAAGTAGCAGGTGTTTAGGGATCTATTTAGGAATAGAACTTAAAGAATTTTGACTTTATCCATCTTCCAAAACAGCCCAAAATTAATGCAGAAACATTGAGTTTTGCGTCATGAATCGGATCGATGTCTTCTTGTTTGAGGAACAGATACGCAGATCCACATTCAATATCAATACATCGAGTACCCGTTTTATCTACATCATTTTTTGGACAATCGAGCGCGATCAAGACTCGATCTCGTTTTTCAGAAATAGTTGTCAAATAGAAAAAGAAATAGTTGGATATCTCCTTATAATCCTCCGATTGCTATTTACAGTCGAAAACCTCATTATGTTCTGCGGCATTGTTCAAAGATACCCATTTTGCAAGGTACTCAAAAGATTTTCGAAATTTCTCAGGTTCAAAGAAGCAACCACTCCCTCATTCTGATAAACTGATAATACCTTACAGTATTTTTCAGGGTGACAGAAACACTCGTATTTCAGTCGTGCTTTCAACTGAAACGTACAGTTGACAGGGAAATCGAGTAAATCACTAGTTGAATGTCTTTGCAATTGAGCTATTACAGTGGGTCGAAGTGGACGTCTCGGACGAAATTGACTAAAGGGTCCTATCACAAAGGACCAAGCGCACCCAAAGATAATTGGGTATTTTTCAAAATAAAACTATCCGTTAAAATGGGAATTAATTTTTGTAGCTTTAACTCAGACATTTTCACGATTACGCCAATTTTCTTTGATCAATTATCTTTGAACAATTATCTTTTTAGAAAGAGTTCGCCAACGAGAGTTGTATTTGATTTCACTTTTCCCGAATTTCAGATAATTTGGATTTGAGATAGTTTCTTCTTTTAATAAACTGCACATCATGTTTTGTGAAAACAAAGATAACTCTTGTCCCATTGGCGTAATCGTGAAAATGTAGTTTTTGTAACTTGACTCCTTTAAGTGTTTCTATTTTCTCGAATTGATGAACTCTTTCCTAAAAAGCTGCCCACATTTTCTTTGAATGAACATTTGATGATTTCCCCAATGAATCAGCATAGAGATCGTTTTGGTGATTGACCTGAAATGTTTGAACTAACTTGTAATTGTTACCTACAAAACCTGTGGTTCTGCGAAAAAGTCCCATCGCTTTGGGACTCATAATTTAGAGTTCCTTTGATGCTTATTTTCTCAGACTTATCCATTCGGCGAATTTCAGGATAAAGTCGCTGTCGGATTGATTCTTTGGAGAAATCATCAAATGATAAAGTTTTTGGAAAGAGGAAAGGAAAACGCAAAATTTCGGTAAGTCTTGTTTCTTTCTCGATGAATGATCCGATTTGTAAGTAAGCGGGTCTATCCCAAAACAGCGCCGCCAGCGACCAAAACAGCGCCGACCAAAACAGCACCACCCAAAATAGCGCCGTGCCCAAAACAGTTGCCAATGGAAAAACGTTTTTTGGGCGTTTTTGCATTGGCGCTGTTTTGGGTACGGCGCTGTTTTTGTGGCGCTGTTTTTGGCGGCGCTGTTTTGGTCGGCGCCGTTTTGGGATAGACCCAAGTAAGCATTCAAGTGATGCGAATAAATGCTTAGCTAAACAGAGGAGCGTTTTCAATGAAAACTTTTCATTGTATAAACAATTTTTCGATAATCGCGTACTAAAAGCTTAAAGATATCGTAAACAAAAGTTTGCTAATTTATCGCTTAAATAAATCTCCCGGTTTACTGTAGTAAGTCAAGAGACTGGAACTTTATAAAGTTTAAAAAAATCGTGCTTTCTCACCGTCTTTGAGTGGTCCATTTGCACAGTATTCGATGTGATTCACAAAAATGGATTCTATCATGAAATTTGAGAAGTGAACGGTGATTTGATGATGAACAGCTTTCCATTCAAAATCGGGAAGTCGGCCAAATGCGACATTTCAATCGACCAATCGTCGCCAAATATATTTCGCGAAGAGCAGACGCAGAAAACAAGCGATTTTGGGGAGTGAGACAAATGCGATCTTTTTTGCGCACCCGGCCCATTAGCGCACCTTTCACGTTTTAAAAAAAGCTCTAAAAAGCTAACATTAACCAATTTCTATTCCAAAAGTTGTTTTTCTGGGTAATTTTAGGGCGTAGAATCGAAATTTTGACATATCAGAGCTTATGGAAGCAAAAGGACGGAGTTATACATCGGGAAATCGGGACGGGAAAAATCGACAATTTTCTGTAATTTGATCCACCCGTTTTACAATTCAAATTAGTTTCACAAGCTCTGATACGTCAAAATTTGGATTCTGCACGCTAAAATTAGCCAGAAAAACAACTTTTGCAATAGAAATTGGTTATTATTAGCTTTTTTAGAGCTTTTTTAAAAGATGAAAAAGGTGCGCTAATGCTAAATGCTAATGGGTGCGCAAAAAAGGTCGCATTTGGCCGACTTCCCGATTTTGATGGATCGCATTTGTCTCCCTCACCAAAATCGATCGTTTTCTGCGTCCGCTCTTCGCGAAATATATTTGGCGACGATTGTTCTGGAACAGAATATGCGATTTGAGCTTGTCAAATGAAAGATTCTAACTCAAAAATTTGTTTTATGCTGCTTGTCAACTTATGTTTGTCAATAAAAAGACAACTGCCTGAGTTTAATTCCTTGTTCTACCAGGAGCAAAAAAGACAAAAATCTGAAAAAATTCTCGCTTATCAAATCAATTGATGGTTGAAAGATAAAAACCACTTGTTTTTGCAGAAGAAGAAAGGATTTATTGAGAATTCAAATGTGTAAGGGGAAAAAAGTGTATACAAACTGTAAACAAGTTAAAACTGACACTTTGGAGTGCACTTTGTGCTCAATATTTGTAAACATACCTTTCTGGTGCACTCAATACTTCATTTCAGCTCGCTTTGCAATGAAGAATTCAGTTTATCAGAAAGGGTGATGATTTTTGAGCTTCAAAAAATAAAAGTACAATGCTGATCAAATAATTGGGGGTAGGCTAGTTTCCGCAACTTTTTTTGCGCAACAGGGTCATTTGCGCAACTCACCATAACTTTCTTCTAAGTGGACCAATGTTTATGATTGTTGGTGTCATTTTGTTGCACTTATTGAGATCTACAAAATGACACCAAAATCATAAAGATTGACCCATTTAGAAGAAAGTTATGGTGAGTTGCGCAAACGACCCAGTTGCGCAAATGACCCTGTTGCGCAAAAAAAGTTGCGGAAACTAGCCTACCCCAATAATTGAGTGTCACTAAATCAATTGTGAACAACTTGATCGTGTAGGTGAGACAAGAAAGCTACAGTACACCAAGTCAAGACAATTTGCATCGAATACCAAATTTACATGTAAAGATCAAATAAAACTGATCGCCTCAACAAAAAGATTATCATTTCATCACTTCTTCAAATCACATCAAATCTTCAAACAACTTTGGTGGGTTTTTTTTCTTTGCTTATTTTTATTCTCTATTCTACTTTGTTGATTTTTAATCGTTGTTGCTGTTTTAGCAAAATGGAAGTGTCTAGCCGTGGATCGACAGCGAGTAACGGATTTGAACGGGCCGTTTGGGCTCCTGATTCTCAACTTGGGTGAGAGCTTTGCTAAATCTTGCTTAAAACCATTCAACTACTCAAATCTTGATTTGAACTTTAGCATTTAAAAGACTTTGTTTTAATTTGTAACGATAGATTGCTAAGTGGTTACTTGGGTAAATTACAAGAAGCTAGTTAGAAAAGTTCTATAGCACTAGTCTAACTTCTTTAAGGGAATTTGTTTGTTTAAACCATCTTTTTAGATATGTCTTGGGAGACATTGTCGACATCGGTGCTGAAATGCTATCAATCAAACGTCGGGATAACCAACAAATCGTAAATTTTGTTGTTGGTTGAGTAATGTCGATTTTTAGATACAAGCAAGCCATGATGTCGTGTTTCCAGCCGACGAAAATCTCGAAAAGGTCGTTGATGACAATTGTGAGCTTTGTGGTCGTTTACCATTCGTTATTGTTTTTCTAGGTTCACTGATGTATTTGAACGAGGGAACATTGCTTCACAATTGCCATCAACGTTACGAGAAGAAACAGATCTATGTAAGTTCGTTCTATTGACTATGTTTTATCTTCTTATTTTAGACCTATGTCGCAAACATCCTCGTCTCGATCAATCCATATGAGCCACAACGAGAGCTCTATTCGACGGAAACAATCGCGTCATACCGCGGGAAATCGCTTGGACAAATGGCGCCACACATTTACGCACTAAGTAGAGTTTGATTTATATCTATATACTTGCTAACTTGTTTGTTTAGCTGACAAAGCCTATCGCGACATGAGAAGAACGGGTGAAGCGCAATCGTTGATCGTTTCGGGAGAGTCAGGTGCCGGCAAAACGGAAAGCCAGAAGGCTGTGCTCAAGTACCTCTGCGAGAACTGGGGAAAAGAAGCCGGTCCTATTCAGCAGCGACTTTTGGAAAGTGAGTGACCTTTGTAAACAGTTTGACGATGAGCATTTCAAGCCGATTCTTTTATTTAAACTTTTGTTTTTTGCGTTTATTGAGAAACACTTATTAGTCAATGCGTTAAAGCGCTTTCATTTTGATTTAGCCGATTCATTATATCGATTTAGCCGATTCATTATATCGATTTAGCCAACCCGATCCTTGAAGCCTTCGGAAATGCAAAAACGACGCGAAACAACAATAGCTCGCGCTTTGGAAAATTTGTCGAGATTCATTTCAACAACAAGGCAAAACTTTTGCGTTTTCAACCATAAACCTTTTCTTTTAGCATCTTGTCACTGGAGGATTCGTCTCGCACTACTTATTGGAAAAATCACGCATTTGCACACAGGCTTCAAGTTGGTTTTTGCAATCCTGAATTATTTATTGTGATTTAGATGAACGCAACTATCACATTTTCTACCAACTCATTGCTGGTGCCGACGACGAAATGTACAAAGTCTTCGGATTATCATCGCCTGATCGTTTCAATGTTTGCGATTTTGTGTGTCTGGCTTTTTTATGTTTGAACTTTAGTATTTGAAACGCGGAACTCTCGACTTCTTCGTTAGACCAGAAAATGAAAAGCCGATCAACAAGGAGCGTTTTGCGGCAGGAGTATGTTCATTCTAGCAATTGATTATACATTTTTCTTTAGGCTTCAACGAGCGTAGATCGAATTGTGGATGACGCTGGTGATTTTGCGAATCTGATGCGCTGTCTTGAAAAATGTGGCTTGGATCGCCCTCAAATTATGCAAATCTTTGGGTTAGTGAACTGTTTAAGGCGACTTGAATAATTTGACATATTTAGGATTGTGGCCGCCATTCTGCACTTGGGTAACATCGACTTTGTGGCTTGCAATGATGGAGGAAAAGGTAGAAGATTGCTCGGATGGTGACTTTGCTATTACAATTCTTTTAGAGGGAAGCAATTTGACCCCCGGCAGCGAGAATTCATGTGGATGTGCAGCACGTCTCCTTGGCATCGATGACCAACAACTGCGAATGGCGCTTACTTCTCGCGCAATGCAAACGACTCGTGGTGGTTCAAAGGGAACTCTTTACATGTGAGAAATTTATCGGTTGATTAGGAATAAAATTAGTGTTGAATGTTTCGTGGCTGTGATTTTAAATCAATTTTTATATTGAAGTGAATGATGCGGGTCTTTTTAGGGTGCCATTAAAGCCAACGGAAGCGCTTGCTGCCCGCGACGCCCTTGCGAAAGCAATCTACTCTCGCCTCTTCGATTGGATCGTTGCTACAATCAACAAGTCAATCCCATTTAACGACAGTCACAGCTACATTGGTGTTCTAGACATTGCCGGCTTTGGTGAGTGACTTTCGAAGTTAATGACGCTTTTTGTTTAGAGTTCTTCACCATCAACTCTTTCGAGCAATTCTGCATCAATTATTGCAACGAGAAGCTGCAAAATTTCTTCAACGAACGAATTCTCAAGCAGGTTGGCACTTTTGGAAGAGATATTTGTTTACCGTTGCAAGTTTAGGAGCAAGAACTTTACGAGAAGGAAGGTCTCGGTGTCGAGAAGATTACGTATGTTGACAATCAGGATTGCATTGGTGAGAAATGCTTATGTGGTAACAATATATTTCAAAGTTTAGATCTTTTTGAGCGTCGTGGAACTGGAATGTTGGATCTTTTGGATGAAGAGATGCGCCTCCCGAAACCACTGCACACGCATTTCACGACGGCCGTTCACGATTCGAACAAGAAGCATTTCCGTCTTGATGTAAGAATTTAACAAGCCAGAGCTAATATAAGGGATAATAACTTTATTACTCACCTCGTCATTAAATATTTTTTCATTTTAGGCTCCACGCAAATCGCTGCTCAAAGAACATCGAGGAATGCGAGATGATGATGGACTTTTGGTTCGGCACTTTGCTGGAACGGTTTGTTCAAAATTATAACAAACTCTCATTTAATGTATTGCTTTAGGTTTGCTATGAAACTGCGCAATTCATCGAGAAGAACAATGACGCTTTACATGCGTCTTTGGAGGCCCTCTTTGAAGCTAGCAGGTTGGTGATTTGAAGTTAATAATCGTCAAATGTATTTGCTTCTTTCAAGTTTAGTTTTTCTCTTTTAGTACTCCACTCATCAAGCTTCTCTTCGAGACACCACAAGAAATGCCAGCCACTCCTGGAGGATCGCTTTTATCTACACCCAGCCGTGCAAAGCGCCTCGTCGTCCCTTCAGTTGGATCAAAGTTCCGCGCACAACTGGCAGTGCTTTTGGAGAAGTTGAGCCATACGGTAAGTATCTCATGAATGATCACGATTTCTTGTTTTTAGGGCACCCACTTTGTGCGATGCGTGAAGCCGAATAGCTCAATGTCGCCGTGGTGTTTTGATGGATCGTCAGTGTTATCTCAACTTCGATGTGCTGGAATGGGATCGGTACTTCGCTTGATGCAAAATGGTTATCCTAGCAGGTTGTTTATTGATTAGAGATGGGGAAATTCTCTTTTGTAGGACTGGCTTCTCGGATCTCTACACGATGTATGCTTCCGTTCTTCCGCCAGAGATTGCCCGACTCGATCCTCGGCTCTTTTGCAAGGTTGATTAGTTCAAGTAATTAGATAATTCTGCCTATTTTAGTGTCTTTTCCGTGTGCTTGGCCTCGACAACGATGATTTCAAGTTTGGCATGACAAAAATCTTCTTTCGCCCAGCTAAATTTGCTGAATTTGATCAGGTTTTCAAATTCGACAAGCGTTTTCAACTTCTCTTCTATTTTTTAGCTTCTTCGCCAAGATGTCGACGCGATGAAAGGATTGGTGGACAAAGTGAAGACCTGGTTGCACACTGTTCGTTGGAGAAAAGCTCAATACGGCGTGTGGAGTGTCATCAAATGTGGGTGCTTTTAATAGATGCTCTCTATTCTGATTTTTAGTGAAGAACAAGCTTCTTTACCGAGCCGAACAAGTGACAATGATGCAAAAGTATGCCCGCGGTTTCTTAGTTCGCCAAAAGTTTTTGTCTCGGTTTGTTTAGAAATGAATTTTTATTTTTATTCTGCTGTAAATTTAGTTTTGCTGTTTACCGCAAAGCAGTGAATCTGCAAACTCGTGGATTCGAAATGAAGAACCTTGTGAGTGAATTGAGCCCGACAAGTCGCAAAGCATGGGAAGCTGAGGTGAGTATCTGATTTTATTATCACAAAGTGTGTCCTTTCAGGTCTCCGAATCAGAAAAAGCACTCGAACTTCTCGTGAACTTCTGCAAGGTTTGTTGAAGTTGTCATTTTTGTGCAAGGTTTCCCCTTTTAGGATCAAAACGTGGAACTCGACCGCATTATAGTGGACTACGAAAAAGGTGTGGCCCATGTCGACAAAATGATCAGCGATTTGAGGTAACTTTGAATTAGAAGTTACCAATGTGTTTGAAATTGAAGGGGTCAGCTCGCTGCTGATGAAGCTGCTCGTTTGGCTGAAATCGAACGCAAAATGGTCGAGGAACGCGAAAGAGAAGAGAAAGAACAACAAGAGGCGATTCTGAAGGCGCAAGAGGTTGAGCGATACGAGGCGAAGTAGGTATTTTGGATGTACATAAGGCTGATATTGCAATAGAGTACTAAATCGGCATAGTTTAAACTAACTTGGATCCACAGCTTATATACCTATTTTAGACGTCGTGAAATGGAAGCTGAACGTGTTCGCGTCGAAGCCGAATTCCAGAAACGGCAGGCCGAAGAGAAAGCCCGCGAAATGACCGCCTTGGCAGAAGAGCAAGAAAAGTAGGTTGTCTGTATTTTACACTAAAACATCGTGATTTTGTAGACGTGCACGCGAGGAGCAGAAACGTTTGGATGGTCTTGTGGCTGCGCGTCTTGCATCGGAGAAAGGAGCACAAGCGACGATGATCGAATCTCCTGCACCACCTACAATTGTTATTGGGTTAGTTTGATAACGTTTATAGTTAGGCTTTGACCCACGAAAATGAATATAGTAGTTTTACTTTAGATCGTCAACTCCTTCTGGCAACAGCAGTCAACCGAAAAGGGCCAAGCTCGATCTCGCTTCATGGAAATACTCTGATCTTCGTGAGACGATTAACACGGCACAAGGTTTGTGATTAAGATTATATTAGCACCATTATTGTTTAGATGCTGATCTATTGGCGGCTTGCAAGGAGGAGTTTCATCGTCGTTTGCGCGTCTACAACGGATGGAAGCAGAAAAATGCGTGAGTGGATTCGATTTGACTACGGCTCTATGCCAGTGTTTAGTAATGATCAGGCGAAAGAAAAGCCTCGAGCTGTGCCACTCGCCATGAAGAAAAAGACCGAAATGAACAATAACGAATCGACTGAAGGTATTTGTGATGTTTGAATTTTCACCTTCCTCCATTTTAGCTTCACCAGTCCCCAAATCCTATCAAGCAAATCACCCAATGCACATCGCCGGACCACAACGCTACTTCAAAGTGCCACTCTCGATCGGAAGGAATCTTGGAAGTGAGTGCTTTATGGAGTCTTTCTTGGTTCTGATTGCTGCTTCGAGATCTGATTGATATTTTTTCAAATTTCAGGCATGCGCTTCGAGAAATCTGGCGCTCAATACGGTTTCTGGTATGGCCACTTCAATGGACAATGGATTCAACGACAAATCGAGATTTCGAACAACAAAGCTCCTGTCGTTTTGTCGGCAGGTTATTTGTCTTTCTAGTGATGGTTTGAGCTCAATTCCTTTGTTTAGGTCGTGACGATTTCGAGATGTGCCAGGTGCCACTTAATGTCACCCAATTGCCTACTTTGAGGGTACGTATTTAATAGCACTTAAAGCTTTCTAAAACGTTAAAACTTTCTATCTTGCTTCTTTAGGGTGCTGAAATCTTGGAAGATGACTTCGAAGCGATGTGGGATCACGTGAATGGAAAGAAACAAGGAGCAATGATCCACTGATGGGAACAACGATCGCAAAGAAAAGGAGAAATCTTTCTTGTTCTTTCTTCATTTCCCCATTTATTCATCTCATCTCATCGTTCATTCTTTGCATTTAATTGATCTCATTTACTGTTTCCCTTCCGTTGTCCCCCTCTTTTTGTGTTTTCTGCCGACCAATCGTCTATTTTTTTGTGTTTACTGGTCTGTATCATTGATATCAATGTGTGGATTTGGTTAATAAATTCGGGTTCTGGGAGAAAATAAAATGGAACAAATAAATACGTAATACGTTGATTACATAAAGCTTACAGTATATAATATGTTCGAAAGCTCTAGTTTTTGATGTTTGACACTTGGATACATAGAACATGGATTGACTTATCACCTAGATAATTTAAAAAAAATCTAATCTGGTAACTGGTACTTTCAGTTCCACAATTTGGAACAGCCTCAAAATTTCTTTTGTCGAAAAGTTTGCGAGGCTCGGTTTCCCCTGAAATCCATCAAAGCTTGTCATTGTGTGCATCCAGGGGGGATTTTTGGGAGAAAGGGAGGGTGTTCATCTAAATCCAAATGCTTCTGAATGACGGGCGAAATGGGAAAGAGGGGAAAAGGGAGAAGCAGTAGAAGCTGAGAAAGAGGGAAAGAGGGAAAGCAGACACCCCAAAAAGGGAAGGGGTCCTCTCCTTTCCATCCCCTTCACCCCCAATCGATGCTCCCCCCTTCTGCCATCAGAATTCGCTTGCTTTTCTCTTTTCTAGTCTAGCACCTCTCCACTATCGCTATTTTCTGCGTTTTCCAATAACTTTTCTATATTCCTCAGCTTCATCTATGCAAAGCTTTCTCCAATGCTTCAACTCTCGAACTCTCGAACTCTCTTCTCTCTCTTCTCTCTCTTCTCTCTTCTCTCTCTTCTCTCTCTTCTCTCTTTCATCACTATCTCCATTTTCTCCTTCCTCTCCATCCCTCCTTTCTCTACCTCTCTCCATTTTCCATATTCACATCTTCTGTATCTCATTTCTTCACTCAATCTCTCAATCCTTTATCTCTACTTTTCCAATATCCTTTCCTCGAATTCGCATTCAATCTCTATATCTCTTTTTCGAATTCCTCCCTATCCAATATCCACTTATCTCTTTCTATTCCCAATATCTGTACATCTCTTGCTCTTCTTTCCCCTTCTCCCCTCCCCTTCTCCCCTCCACTCCACAACCTTTCTGCAGAATACTCTCCTTTCCCTTTTCCCTATTTTTTCATCCATGACGAAACAAATTGCCTCCACCTTTCTTTTTTCTGAATTCCCTTCTGTTTTCCGCAATTTCCTTGTCTTTTCGTATCCTTGTTCGATTCTTTTTTTTCTTTTACTCAACCCACGGATTTATTGATGAGATTTCAATGTTGCCATCATCGGTCATTATAGTAGAAATGGTAGAATCGCTTTGAAATTGTTTTCTTTAATAGCTGAGTATCTTGCTCTAATCGTAAATCTTTTCTAGTAGTAATCTAGGTAATCTAAGTAATCTAAGTAATCTAAGTAATCTAAGTAACCTAAGTAACCTAAGTAAGCTAAGTAATCTAAGTAAACCTAAGTAAGCTAAGTAATCTAAGTAAACCTAAGTAAGCTGAGTAAACCTAAGTAAACCTAAGTAATCTAAGTAACCTAAGTAAATCTAAGTAAGCTAAGTAACCTAAGTAAATCTAAGTAACCTAAGTAACCCAAGTAAATCTAGTAAGTATTCAGCTAGCAAACGATTTCAGCAATATTCTGACAAAGCAGCTCCCGGAAAGCATTGATTTTTGAACTGCTTTTTCTTTTTTTCCATTCACACCTTCTTATCTTCAATTTCCCTCGAATTCCCAGAAATAACTCTTCATTCTTTTTTTGTTTTAATCTGCAATTTCCTTAAAATCGAAACAAATTTCCTCTAGAAATGCCTCAAAATGGATGACAAGGGAAAAGAATTGTGCCCTCGTTTAATCGACTATTTGGTCGTTGTTGGGAAAAGAGCAAAACAGGTAAAATGGATAGAGAAATTGAAAGAAATTGAGCGATTTCTGATCCTGTTTCTTGAAATCTTTTAATCTTCTAGAGATCCACCTCAATCATCGGCACCGACGGCCAACAAACGGCCAACGTGCACACCGTATCGTATCCGGAATTGTTGAGGAGGTAAACGACAAAGAAAAAAAAGCTATATCCAGTTCTATTCAATTTCAATACTTGAAACGATTAGCGATAGAGTTGGGTTGGGTTTAAAGATTTGGATTTGACTGTAAGCCAATCGAAATATAAAGCCAATCGAAATACAAAGCCAATCCAAATCCAATCCAATCCAAATCCACTCCAATTCAGATACCCAACCGATGATCACAAGGATTTCTATTTGCCCACCGATGTGACCGTTTTTTGTCAACCTGAGGGATGTCCGACGATCAGTAAGGAGAAACTACAAACAGAAACAAGAAACTGTCTGTCGGTCTGTCTGTCTGTCTGTCTGTCCCTGAATTCTCGGCTTCCTGTGAGCCGATTTACATAATTTTAAGTTCCTTAGGCTTAGAATTCTATCTAGTTTTCTATCTCATATTTCGTTTTTTAAAAAGGCAAAACTCAGGGCATAGGCGGGAGCCGAACCAGCACCCCACGGGTCTGTAGACCAGCCTACTCCCGACTGCGCCACTGTGACCATGCGTCGCCCCCCCCAAAACAGCCAGCTGAAAACCCGCCGTTAGATCGTTTAATTAAACAAGACGTTTCTTTTGCTTGTCATAACTTAACTCAAGAATTTGGCGAACGATCAGATTGCCGTCATGGCCGACTGGCTAGGAGCCTGGTTTCTTAGTCAGGAGGTCGAGGGTTCAATCCCCCTTCCCGGTTTTTTTTGCTGGACATATTGGTTTTTCTTCCCTAAATTTAGGGCTTAGGGGTGTACCACATTATTGTTGTGATTGGAATAGGCAATTACAGTAATCGATTTCCGTAACTACAAGAATTCTACCATTGAAGTTGTTCAAGTGTTCAAGGAGGCAATTGTCAGATTGGCACACGAGATTCTCGTGATAGAATAGAGAGTGAGATTAGTGACGACTTTTGCTGGATGCTTCCATAAATTTCACAAATTTATTTACAAAACAATCTAGTTTCCTTACAATTCTGCGATTTTTTTTTTCATAACCTTTAGATTAGAAAGATCTTGATTATTCATTCAGATTATTCAAATCGCGAGCGTCGCGCAAAGGACTCGCAATTTTTCGTGTTCATGTTAACCGAGAAAGATACATCGAGAATTCGTTTCGGCGTTTGCCTCAACTTCTTTCAATGTTGCGAGAGAAGGACGGCTGATGGAGTGAGCGGGAAAACGAAAAAGTTTGTCTAATCACTTTTCAACTCGTTCATTCAAAATGAATCTCAATTTCGATTCCAGAAAAGATCACCTCATCTCATTGACCTCTCTTTGTTTGATCTCTCATCATCCGTTTGTCTCAATCTTCCACGAATTGCTGATTATTTTGAAGAATATCATTGACGCGTGCAATCATCGAGTGTCAAAGGCGACAAATCAAAAGTCAGTTCGATACTTTGGGTTCACTAGGGTTTACTAGGGTTTAGTAAGGCTTACTAGGGCTTATTAAGGCTTACTATGGCTTACTAGGGCTTACTATGGCTTACTAGGGTTTACTATGGCTTACTAGGGCTTACTAAGGCTTACTAGGGCTTACTAAGGCTTACTAGGGCTTACTATGGCTTACTAGGGCTTACTATGGCTTACTAGGGCTTACTATGGCTTACTAGGGCTTACTAGGGCTTACTAAGGCTTACTAGGGCTTACTAAGGCTTACTAGGGCTTACTAGGGCTTACTAAGGCTTACTAGGGCTTACTAAGGCTTACTAGGGCTTACTATGGCTTACTAGGGCTTACTATGGCTTACTAGGGTTTACTATGGCTTACTAGGGCTTACTAGGGCTTACTAAGGCTTACTAGGGCTTACTAGTTTCAATCTACCATCATTCAATCTTTTCGAAATCGGACCTAGCTACAAAACGCCCCGTAAAATTCTAAGAAACATGTTTTTTCCTCAAGTGAAAAATTTGATCACGAGCGGAATTGAACCCGCGAGAAAAACTGCCGTAGGTTTCGGAGTTCAGCGCACTATCGCCTAGGCCATCGCTGCTTTTGCGCACCCTTAGCATGGCGCCCTCTTATAGGTGAGGTTTGCCAAAAATTGCCGAAACTTTGGACACGTTTTTCTCGTAAACCTAGACCTAAAAGAGGGCGCCACGCCGAGGGCGGGAATAAAAGCAGCGGTGGTCTAGGGGATAGTGCGCTAGACTCTGAAACCTATTCCGCTTCTGCTTTTGGGTTCAATCCCGCTTGCTGTTTCTTAGAGATCGACGGAGGCGTTTTGTAGCTAGATGTTTTCTGCTTTCTTTTGTACATAGTACGTGTTGTAGCTCGAAAACCGGTGGCAAATTGAAAGAGTTTTTTCTAGTTAAAAAAATGGAAACACAATTTCGCTTAAAAAGACATAAAAATAAAAAAGTGCATTTGTGCATTGTATTTTCGTGCGACAAAATGCGCTAATTTAATCATTTTTAGAGAAATCGTTTGGTCTGTGTTGACGGGCAGTTGGCATGACACGATTCCGGTCGAGGTGATGAAAGAAATCAAACAAATCGAGACGTGGATCTTGATGCTGCTCTCGTCACCCGTGCCGGTACCCGCGAGGACAAAAGTGCAATTAGAGGTGCGATCCTTCAGCCAAAGTGAACTTTGGGCGCAGAAAATGGAGAAATTACACACCTGGTACACAGCTCGAACTAGGGCAGCTCAAAAACCTACGTACGCCACCGGGACTCGAACCCGTGACCTTTTCGCTTACCGAGCAACTGTGCTAACCATCACACCACAACGCACTCGATCTCCCGGTCGAACCCGGGCCGTGTGGGCTGTAGGCAAGCGTGCTCCTGACTGCGCCATGGCGACGAAGCGTTCGCTTGCTGTTAATCACGCTTTTGATCACCGACATCACCTGATCTGATCTGATCACCGACAAAAAGCCCGGTCTCAAAACAAGCCATGACACAGTCAGCTTGCCTACAGCCCACACGGTCCGGGTTCGACCCACCGTAGTGCCATTCAGCCAGAACGTAGACAGCCAGCATAGAGACAGACAGATTACGGTAGTTTTCGGCTAATAGAAACATAAGAGATCTGTGAGCTTAAAGTACAGGGTGCGGCAAAAGTTCTGACACTTTTTCTGTAAGCAGTAATTTTTTTGGCTTCAAAAACCCGTGAATTTCAAAAAACTAGCGCCGGATTCTAAAAATTTAGGTAGTTTCACCCCAATATAGCCATTTTCATAAAAAGATTTCAACTCTCAATAACTTTTTGACGAGAATTTTTTATATCCCGGTCTGGTCGCTGAAGATTTTTGCGAAAGTTGACTTAAACTTTGCAGAATGAAATTTTTTTCCAAAAACTGCTGTTACCATTTGATAGAACTGAGTTTTTTCTTGAAAACAAGTCACAAAAAAAAACTTTATATCTCAAAAACGAAAGATTTTCAAGCGATTCTACGAAGGGCACCCAAATCTCAACAGCAAAAAAAACTGCTGTAACGACCTTTAAACATCCTCATCAAAAGGTTGTTTAGATGGCAATTTTTGTGTAAAAAAGTATATTAGGGGGTAAAAATATCTGAATTTTTATAATCCGGTGTTAGTTTTTCAAAAATCGCTTTTTTTCCAAGTCAAACTGCCCGTTTACAAAAAGTGTCGGAACTTTTGCCGCACCCTGTAAACAGTCTCGTACGCTTTCTACTCATCATTAATCTCTAATGAAGATCTCTAATGAAGCTTTTCCAGATTCTCCCAATGGATCTTTGTCCAATGTTTTCCTTTGCTTTACCCGATCACACTCGTTTTTCCCTCGTCGATTTCCCACTCCATCTGCCATTCGAATTGCTGGGGATTGAAGGGACGGTGAAAGTGCTTTCGGCGGTGATGTTAGAGTATAAAGTGAGGAGATTACCAATTGAACCAATAGAACCAATAGAATGTATTCGAATTTATTAAATCAAAGAATGAAATCAAAGAAACTCTTTACTCATTTCCAATCACTGAATCCTAGGTCGTGCTCCAATCTCGTAACTACAACGCCGTCTCGATGTGCGTTCTCTCACTGGTTGCTCTTCTTTATCCATTAGAGTACATGTTTCCCGTGATTCCTCTCCTACCCGCCTATATGCAATCGGCTGAACATGTAAGTCCTTTACGAGAGCTGATGAGTTAGAGATTGAAATAAGCAGCTCTAGCATTGAGTCAGCGGCTCTAGCATTGAATCAGCAGCTCTAGCTTTGAATCAGTGGCTCTAGCATTGAGTCAGAGGCTCTAGCATTGAATCAGCAGCTCTAGCATTGAATCCGCGGCTCTAGCATTGAATCTAAACCCTTTAAGCCATTCAATTCTACCCTTCTAACCATTGATAGTCTATTTTTTGCCTAAATAGATGAGGAGTTTGTTTCTAAAAGAAAAAAAAGCTAAATGGGGGAGACAAAAAGAAATTGAGCGTATAGGAAAGGCGAGAAAACGTTTTTAGAGTAATTGTCTTTTTCTTTTTTTTCAATTCTCCCGATTCCCATTACAACAGGATATTGGTATTGGATAGGGGAAAGGATTTGAATTAGTTTGCTTCCAATGAAACCGATTCGAAAATCTAACCAGTATCAAAAGAGAAACCAGCATCAAAAGAGAAAAAGGAGTTGTGGAAATGAGCTGTAAAGTAAGGTGTGAAGTGAGCTGTAAAGGCTGTAAAGTAAGCTGTAAAGTAAGCTGTAAAGTAAGCTGTAAAGTAAGCTGTAAAGGCTGTAAAGTAAGCTATAAAGTAAGCTGTAAAGTAAGCTGTAAAGTAAGCTGTAAAGTAAGCTGTAAAGTAAGCTGTAAAGTAAGCTATAAAGTAAGCTGTAAAGTAAGCTGTAAAGGCTGTAAAGTAAGCTGTAAAGTAAGCTGTAAAGTAAGCTGTAAGGTAAGCTGTAAAGTAAGCTGTAAAGTAAGCTGTAAATGTAAGCTCAGCTTTACAGCTTAACATCTCATTGGTGAGCTGTAAAGTAAGCTCTAAGGTAAGCTGTAAATGTAAAACAACTCCATTCTGATATTGAAATTGTTCAGCTACTCCTCGCGCCAACTCCTTTCATCATTGGTGTCCCGTCGTCATTTTGGGCTCACAAGAAGCTACAAGAGATTCCATCGGATATCATTGTTGTCGATCTAGACGCATGTCAAGTACATGTCCCTGAAGAGCTCACATTGCCCGAGTTGCCTGAACCCGATGTTGGCGATTTGAAGGTAAGAATTGTTTTGAAGTTAGGTTGGAAAAATGGTTGGTTGTTGGGAAATTTAAAAAATGATAGCTAAACCAAATAAGATTTAGTTTTTATCATTTAAAAGATAGATCTTTTCACATAAAAAAAAATAGCTTTTAAGAGATTTGAAGCTTTTCTTTTTGAAGTGCAAAGAAGTGCAAAGAGGAAAGAAGTGCAAAGAGGTGCAAAGAAGTGCAAAGAGGTGCAAAGAGGTGCAAAGAGGTGCAAAGAGGTGCAAAGAGGTGCAAAGAGGTGCAAAGAGGTGCAAAGAAGTGCAAAGAGGTGCAAAGAAGTGCAAAGAGGTGCAAAGAAGTGCAAAGAAGTGCAAAGAAGTGCAAAGAAAATTGTGTCAAAATTGATAAAAACAGAAAAGATATACTTGACAAATTTGACAAATTCAACAAGAATTCGTTTTACTTTTCTCTACGCAAAATAAAGATATCGATTTGCTAGTTTATTAGTCGAATTTACAACCAAATCCGTTAAACCGTTTGCTGAATTTTCGTTTGAAGAAAAGTTTGAAGAAAAGTTTGAAGAAAAGCTGGAAGAAAAGTCGTCAAATAAAGGATTTTGATGGCTTTGAATTAATTGAAATTTGAAGAAAACGGTTTGGTGGATTTTATTGGAACTTTATATCAGTAAAGTTTTCAGTAAAGTTCCCAGTAAAGTTTCCATTAAAGGGATATTTTTTGGCGTGCTTGGTACTCTTCACTTTACTGGGAACTTGACTGGGAACTTTACTGGGACTTTAATGGGAACTTTACTGGGAACTTTAATGGGAACTTTACTGGGACTTTAATGGGAACTTTACTGGGACTTTAATGGGAACTTTACTGGGAACTTTAATGGGAACTTTACTGGGAACTTGACTGGGAACTTTACTGGGAACTTTAGTGGAAACTTTACTGGGACTTTAATGGGAACTTTACTGGGAACTTTAATGGAAACTTTACTGGGACTTTAATCGGAACTTTACTGGGAACTTTAGAGGAAACTTTAAAGGAAACTTTACTGAAAACTTTACTGATATAAAGAAATATTCTTTGCGTGTACTCATCACTCAAGCACAAGTTATTTCTTGTTTCTTATCTGATCTCACTTGAACTTGAACGAGAACTAAGACACTTTATTCAATAGCCGACTGAATCGGAATTTTTGGGCTCACTTGAGCTCTCACTTGAGCAATTTTCACACAAAATCGACAATTGAATTGAATTGAATTAAAAGCGACGATAAAAACAGAAAGAATTTCGTCCTAATTAGGACAAAACTTTCAGACGATGAAAGGAAAGCAAAAAAAAGTAAAACACGGGGGTGGGACAAATGCGACCTTTTTTTTGCGCACCTTTTTTTGCTGGAAAAGGTCGTAGAGCTTCAAAAATGTTTTCATAGAAGGGAATCGTATGCGTAGATTCCGAATTTCGACAAATCAGACCTCGCTGACACGTCAAATTTGGGTTAAAAGTCAAAAACTGCGGAAAAGCGTAAAGTTGCGTAGTTTTTGCCTTTTAGCCCAAATTTGACGTGTCAGCGAGGTGTGATTTGTCGAAATTCGGAATCTACGCATACGATTCCCTTCTATGAAAACATTTTTGAAGCTCTACGACCTTTCCTAAGGCCTTTTCCAGCAAAAAAAAGGTGCGCAAATGTCCAGGTGCGCAAAAAAAGGTCGCATTTGTCCCACCCCCGTAAAACACATCAAATGAACAGCAGTTGCCTTCTATAGGCTTTAACACAAGATATTCAGCTAACAAGCTACAAAACAATAAATGATTTGGGGCGCGAAATAGAATGAAGACGCACGGATTTCCGCAATACTTTTTCAATTTTTAGGCTCTCAGAGTTAGGTAACTTTTTAGTGGCTATTCTTTAATGGAAACTTTACTGGGAGCTTTACTGGGAACTTGACTGAGAACTTTACTGGAAACTTTACTCGAAACTTGACTGGGAACTTCGATTCTCGTCGCCAATCGCCAGTCGCTAATCGTTGACTCTTGTCAATCTCTCCTGCTCCCCTTTGCGCTCTCGAAAAACCTCAAAAATGAAAGCTTTTTCTAAATTGGCAACAATGATTTTGCAAAGAAAATCTAGATCTTTTCAATGGTGCAAACCATACTTCTTTTGGTGCATTCATTCGCATCCATTCGCATTGTAAAACCAATTTTTAGTGATAAAGTTTGGTTATCTCTTTGCAAATTGAATAGAAAGCAATTCTATAGAACAAAGTTTTTTCTTTAAATCAATTAGAACTTTAAAAAACCTATAACTTATTGTATTTCTTCTTCAGATGAACGTTCGAATGGCTTTAAACCGTATGAACACAAATCTCGTCGATGAAAGACGAGGCTCGGTTGAGGCGAATTATTCAACGGACGCTGATGAAGTTGATGTCGCTTGTAGAGTGGCTATGGTTTGTTGGGAATAACTAAATCTATTAGGTTGATGCGTAAGTGTTTTTGTTCCTTTTCGTAGTTGTAGTTGCCTGTAGGTGTCTGTAGGCGCTTGTAGGCGCTTGTAGTTGCATGTAGGTGCCTGTAGGTGTCTGTAGGCGCTTGTAGGCGCTTGTATTAGGTTGATGCATAAGTGTTTTTGTTCCTTTTCGTCTGCCGTTTGAAGCCAACAAATGCACGAATTAAACTACGGTTGATTTCATTAGAAAAACCATTTATTTTTCTGCAAAATAACATTAAAACGGGTTTAAAAATATTGAATGCCTGGATTTTCTTGAGAGTATGAAGTCGGGTAGTCAAAAAGGGCTAACTCGATGATGCGGTTTAGACACCTTAGCTAAAGATAGCTAAAGAAAACCTATCTTCGTGTCAATAGATAAAAGATAGAGAAAAAAAACGTTTGATATTTCGCCAAAATTTCAGAGAAATTCATTCGGCCAATTTTTCCGTAGAGTTTTTTATAGATTTTTACGAAAAAGACGTTTTTCACTCTCGAATTTGCTTGAAAGTGAACCGAAATTCATTTAAAAAAGATGCAAATTCAACAAATAAACACTTGTTTTTATAGAGCAAACTATAGATTAATTCGTGAATTTGTTACTTTTTAACAGAAGTACGAAAACAAACGAAAACACTTGTGCATCAACCTATTAGATCTAAATCTAGATCTACACTACTGGACAATGAAATATCATATTTGGAAAGAGATCATCACTTTCGCGCGTCTGTAACTCCGTTGTCTTTACCGTATTTCTAAATATTAATATTACCATTGTGTAGCCCTTGAAAAGAGCTTTCAGAAAATATATAACACTAATAGTTTAAACTCAAAGACAAGGGATTTACAGACGCGCGAAAGTGACGATCTTTTTTCAAATATGATATTTCATTGTCCAGTACTGTAGATCTAAATCTAGATCTAGAGCTAGAGCTAGAGCTAGAGCTAGATCTAGATCTAGATCTAGAGCTAGAGCTAGAGCTAGAGCTAGAGCTAGATCTAGATCTAAATCTAGATCTAAATCTAATCTAAACATCTAAATGTTTTAGATAAAATTCTACAATTCGACGAACATCTTCGCGAATTTTTCTGAGCATACGCGAACTTTGCGTTTATATCCCCGTCCTGTTGTCGCTCTTCAATCAGAATCATTTCTGAGATCACGACCGAATTGCACGCAATTTGTGATGGATTTGTGCAGGTGAATCGGGAAAATCGATTGTGTTAACTTACTATGACAATTGCTGGCTGCTTTACTTTACTTTATCCTTGGTGAAAGATGAGAAATCAAGAATGGAGATCAAGAATGGATATTAAGAATAGATATCAATGGATATCAGATATCAGATCTCAGATAACAATAGATATCAAGATATCAATAGATCTCAGATATCAATAAATCAATGCATCAACTTCTACCAATCCATTTCAATGTTAAACCACTTCTGCAACTCTTTAATCATTCCCAATTTCCCTTTCAGAACACAAGCTGTTGAGTACTTTGCCGAAGAGTGTTTATGCCCGAGAAATGAGACTTTTGTGCGCGTTCAAAACGGAATCGACAAACCGCAACAAGTTGGTGATAAAGCGAAATGGTTTGCCGACTCGTTGATGCCAGTACATTTTATGGTGAGTAAGAGGAAAAGATTGCACTCTTTCTGCTAGCAATTCCGCAATCTAGAGAAAGTTTAGGTCTATCCGGATAACTCGACATTAGCCCCCGCAATTGACACGTGGAGAAGAGAGGGTGATGGGGATGAGTCCGACGAGGAGTTGAGCGATGATGGAGAGGAAAGGCCTGGGAGTACATCGAGTATCGATGATCTTGTCTTTGATAGTCCCGATGAAGTGACCGGTTTGTTTTATGAGGACTGTATAAAAAGGAACGAAAGGGAAAGAAAGAAAGAAAGAAAGAGGATTGAACCGTCGACCTTTTTCCTTTCCGGGTAGATGTTCTTAGTTACAGATCGTACAATTGCCTCAAAACCACTGGGTGAAGTGAATGATGTCTACAAAGAGCCACTCAATCTCGAGATTCCCCCATCAGAAACCGTTGCCAGCTTTGGCAGCTCGGTCAGCAGTGGACAGTGAGTTTTGGAAGATTTCTTGATCTTTTGGAAGGCTTATTGATCTTTTTGGAAGGCTTATTAATCTTTTGGAAGATTTCTTGATCTTTTGGAAGGCTTATTGATCTCTTGGAAGATTTATTAATCATTAAAAGTCTAAATCCAAAGCTAAGCTAAGTTAAAAGCATAACAATCTAGTTAAAAGCATAACCATCTAATCAAAAGCATAACATTCTTCGGATTCTTCATAACATAACAACAAAGATTGTTATGAATTGATTGATTCAGTTGTCAGCTGACTTGCACAGCTGCGGAGTTTCTAATTCCTATGCAACTCCTATGCAATTCCTATGCAATTCCTATACAATATCCAATACAATCTTACAATTTTCATCAATTTTCTATAAACTAATCAATGGCATTTAAAGCTCATCCCCTTCTTCATCACGATCCGCTTCAGCGTTGGACAGTGAAGCCGATTTTGCGAGACTCGCCGAGAATTTAGCTTTAAAATCTGATGCCAAAGTGAGTCTTAAGAATCTATTATATATAAAGCAGAAGAGAGGTCTGTTTGTTTGTTTGTTTGTTTGTTTGTCTGTTTGTCTGTCTGTCTGTCTGTCTGTTTGTCTGTCAGTCAGTCAGTCAGTCAGTCAGTCAGTCAGTCAGTCAGTCAGTCAGTCAGTCTGTTCAGACAGTCAGTCTGCCTGTCAGTCAGTCAGTCAGCCAGCCAGCCAGTCAGCCAGCCAGCCAGTCAGCCAGCCAGTCAGCCAGCCAGTCAGTCAGTCTGTTTGTCCGTCTGTTTATTTGTCTGTTTGTTTATCTGGCTGTTTGTCTGTCCATCCGTTTGAGCGCAGCCATTGGTAAAAAGGGCGCAGCTTAGCTTGCGCGGAAAAACGTGGACCTTCCCAGTCGCTAGTTATACAATATTACTAGAAATAGCTTTATTTTGTAAAGCTTTATCTTGTAAAGCTGATTTCAGGGTGCTTTCTCGTTTGATCACGAAGATGATGACGCTGAATCAACACCGATTCAGAATCGACGCAAAACGTTACAATCGGAGGCGAACACTGAAAATAATACACCGACCACGAAAACCCCTCTATCGAATAAAGGAAAGCTTAAGGTGAAGAATTAGAAGATTTAGAAGAAGAAGATTCAGATTTAGAAGAATATTGCAAACTTTTAGCTCACATCCCTCACCGATTCAAGTCAAAACTTCATGAGTGGCTTCAACGGTTTAGCCGAGAAAAGCTCGGATATTTTTAGTCAAGTAAGAAAAGGGATTACTGATAAATTGAAGAAATAAATTCATTTAGATGCTGACGAAAACGGGCGGACTAAAACAGGCGCAAGCACTTCGCGACAAAACGGTCAAACCATTGGCGGCTGCAGCGGCGAGTCGCATCGAGCAATCCCAGCACGCAGTGAAGACGAAAACACAGGGAACACCCACATCGACACAAACGGCAAATCAACAAAGGTATGGCTGAAAAGATAGACAACTGGGATGGCTAAATGGGAGCGGCTGATCTGGGTAACCCGGCTAACAGCTAGGCTGTTAGCTAGCTAGCTAAAAGCAGAAGCTAGTTTCAGACTAGAAATCGGCATTACAAACCACTGTAACTTTCTTTAGCATTGCTATTTTTGGGTTTGCTTTTTTCATTCGAAAGCTCTTGAGATTCTCTATTTTTTCAGCTATAGATCATGTTAATCCGGTAGATTTACGGGAAATTAGAAGCATTTAGTGTAAGAGGTCATTTTTGTAGTTTATAGTGCCCATGTAATGATCGTTTTTGGCTTAAAGGCTTGATCTTTTCAAGGAGGATGGTAGTGAAAGTTTTGAATTTTATTTTAATATGAAGGTAGATAGATATGAAGGGATTCATATCTATGAAGGGACTTTCAGATAGATCTAAGATCAAAAAAACCCCCTCTAACTATTCCGTTTTCGTTTCGCATTACTGCAAAATGTTTAGCAAAAATCAACAAACCGTTCGCGAGGTGTGCGATGCGATTCTCGCCGGTCAAGGCATTGGAATGTTCGCTTATCCGAAATTCAAGGTAACTCAAAGGGAATTGAAGAATAGGAGAGTTGAAAAATTGAAGAGTTGAAGAGTTGAAGAGTTGAAGAGTTGAAGAATTGAAGAATTGAAGAGTTGAAGAGTTGAAGAGTTGAAGAGTTGAAGAGTTGAAGAGTTGAAGAGTTGAAGAATTGAAGAGTTGAAGAGTTGAAGAATTGAAGAGTTGAAGAGTTGAAGAGTTGGAGAATTGAAGAATTGAAGAATTGGAGAATTGGAGGATTGGAGAATAGAAGAATTGAAGAATCTATTGAGTTGGTGCATTGAAAACTGCCAGACTTTGAACTAAAATTTATTCAACATAAAACCATCAATTCATTCCAAATAAATCATTCCAAATTTCCATTATTATTGACGACTTCTGCCCATTTTACAGGCAATTTGCGGATTCCTCTTTCGTAGTAAGATTTTGGTTTGTGTGCGAGACAAGTGTGAGACTCAAAAATCGAGGACTGGAGGATGTCCGATAGAGAGTTTGAGCACTTTCTTCAAAAGAAACCCATTTTGGTGTCAATAGAAAAGTTGTAGAGAATCAAAAATGAGGCTTATAGCCAAATTTCCAAAAAGATACACTTAGTAGTTTCGCTTAAAATGCAAGTTTTGTGAAAATTCGTAAATTTGGCATTTCTTGAAAACCAGCTTTTGAATCGTTCTGAAAATTTGGATATAAGCTTGATTTTTGATTCTCTACAACTTTTCCATTGACACCAGAATGGGTTTCTTTTGAAGAAAGTGTGAGAACTGAGATGTATGACAATAGCTGGCAGTTTTCAATTCACCAATCCAATAGATCTAGAGTAAGAACAAGATCTAGATCTAGAGTAAGAACAAGAGCTAGATCTAGAGTAAGAACAAGAGCTAGATCTAGAGTAAGAACAAGATCTAGATCTAGAGTAAGCACAAGAGCTAGATCTAGAGTAAGAACAAGAGCTAGATCTAGAGTAAGAACAAGAGCTAGATCTAGAGTAAGAACAAGAGCTAGATCTAGAGTAAGAACAAGAGCTAGATCTAGAGTAAGAACAAGAGCTAGATCTAGAGTAAGAACAAGAGCTAGAGCTCTCAGTCATCAATTCACCAATCCAATATTTCTTTAAATAAAAACAAAGCATTTGATAATTTTCAGCGCCTAATGGAAGATGAAAGTCTTCGCGAGTTGGTCTGTTCAAAATTAAATCTCGGATTGGAGAATCGTTTAACCGAAGAGGAATTTGTGAAAGAATTTGTGAGTTTTTGAGAGAAAATCGAATCACTAGAGGTAAAGAAAAATGACAAAACGAAGAAGAAAAATGAAAAGCTCAAATATAAACGAAAAATTTCAGCAATTGACTCGAGCTCAATACAAGGGATATGTCAAGGTTTTACAGGCGTGTCTTGCCGGCATTGAGGTGGGCTTTTTTGGGATTGAAATTTGAAATTGGTACAATGTACAATGGTAAACTGGTACAATGATAAAAGCTTGAACAATTCTCAAATAAGATTTCTAAGCCTCTAGCCGATTTCTTTTCGATTTCTCCCTACTAGTTTTGTTATTTGGTAATTGGTTCAAAATTCATTCTAATTCTAATGGTTGGTTATAAAGAACCAATAAATACTAAAAAACCTTGCTGCTCATCAGAAATTTCAGAATCAAAAGAAAGAATCGAGAGAAAATCAAAAGAAACAGAAACTTTGGTTCCAAGAGGATCCGAACCCGCAAGGGAAAGCCCCCAATCGAGCACACTATCCCCTAGACCACCCGGCCATCGACGGTTGTCGACTGGGGAAGGTTTATCCCACCGAAATTTCGCTTGCTCCAAATTTTCATCCATTCTCGCTCCCAATTTTCAAACATCTTTTTACACGGGTTAAAGAGCTCATTGGGTTGATTTTAAAACTGGGTTTTGCTCAGAATTTTGCGTAGAATCCGATGCACTAGATCTTGTAGCTAACTCAATGTTGAAACAGTGCCCTAGGAGGTAAAAAAGGTTTTGTTTGTAGCCTTTTTGCTAGATGCTTTTTGTTAGATGCTAATCGGTGAATAATTTTACAATTTTGGCATTAAGCTTTATGAAGAAGCTATTGAAGTAGCTAGTGAAGTAGCTATTGAAGTAGCTATTGAAGTAGGTATTGAAGTAGGTATTGAAGAAGCTATTAAAGTAGCTATTGAAGTAGCTATTGAAGAAGCTATTGAAGTAGCTAATGAAGTAGGTATTGAAGTAGCTATTGAAGTAGCTATTGAAGTAGCTAAAGTAGCTAATGAAGTAGCTAATGAAGAAGCTGTTGAAGTAGCTAATGAAGTAGCTAATGAAGTAGGTATTGAAGTAGCTATTGAAGTAGCTATTGAAGTAGCTATTGAAGTATTCAGCTCTCTTTCAACACTCCCGGCTCAAACGGTTTGGCGAGTGTTTTCCATATTCTTGAGATTGCGCACACTCATTTTTGGTCTCGAGATGATGGAGTGATGACACCGGCGAGTGGAGGGAATTCACAGGTATTTGAAATTCAAGTTTTGAATGTGAATCGTAAGGTTTTATATGTAAATCTTAAGGTTTTAGCTGTAAATCTTAAGGTTTTATATGTAAATATTAACTCTAATCGATAGAGTTCAATGTCCCGCGATTTTCCATCTTCTAAAAGCTTTTTTTGCTTTAGTTACCAACTCCTTCTGCATCAGTACAAGATCTCCAATCAATACAGGTTTCTTTTTCCATTCATTTACATATAAATCATTCTTCAGCCTCGCCAAAAACTCCCGGCCACCTCGTACGATATGAGATCGATGCCGAAACCGATCGGGAAACTCTCAAATGGAGAACCCATCCAGGGACCGAGCACCGCTCAACCCACTCAATCATTGCAATCCGAAAAGAAACCAACTGTTGTACCATTTGGAATCCCGGGCAACGATCCATTACCTAAACAAACGATTCCGCAACCAACTCCACCACCAATTCCACCAAGAGATGGAGTCGCCGCCCATCCGCACCCACCACCATTGCCTGCGAGGCCACAAATGGATGGTGAGGAATAAGTGTTATGCTGAAATTCTATCGATGATTTAGTACTATTAGTTAGAGACAGCGAAAATCTCTTTGCTATTCAGTTTCTCAAGCATCTGATGCCTCGATTCCACCTCTGCCACCTCGTCCTCCACCTCCACGACAAGAAAGCATTCAAGAAAACAGTAAATTAGCGAGAGGAAGCAGCAGTGAATCCGGTGGATCACAGAGGCCATTACAAGAGAAATTAAAGGTTTGATTGAATTAAGTAAAATCGTGATTCGATTCTTGTTGTTGTGCAGCTTGTTCTGTTGTGTAGCTTGTTCTGTTGTGTAGCTTGTTCTGTTGTGTAGCTTGTTATGCTGTGCAGCTTGTTCTGTTGTGCAGCTTGTTATGCTGTGCAGCTTGTTATGTTGTGCAGCTTGTTATGTTGTGCAGCTTGTTATGTTGTGTAGCTTGTTCTGTTCTGTAGCTTGTTCTGTTGTGTAGCTTGCTATCTTGTTCATCTTGTTGCATTCTTAACCAAAACCAAAACTTGTTGCATTCTTAACCAAAACCAAAACTTGTTGCATTCTTAACCAAAACGATTCTTATCCTTTTTAGGCTCCATCAACTCTACCCGTTTCTGCCAGTGGAACTCCGTCGACTCGATCGATTGTGACACCAATTGAACCAAGACATTTCATCTATCAGGATTTGATTTGTAAGTGAAAGATCATTCGTTCATTCGTTTTATTATCGTTCTAGTACCCAATCAACATCCATTATGGCAAAATATGGTTTTCTGGGAGAACGCTTTTTATGATGTCGTTGGACAAGAAAGGGATATCATTGGAATGGATCAAGAACCCAGTGAAATGATTGATCGGTGAGTGAACGGAATGGAAAGGAAAGCATTACTGATCTGTAATGGAAAGGAAAACATTACTGATCTGTACTTGCCTCACCACTACTCGATAACAGAAAATTAGGGAAAACCAGGGAAAAAGGGAGTTTAAAAAGAGCAAGTCGAGTCAAGCTAGAATATTTTGAATAATCAATTTTTTCTAAAGCGATTTTTGTGAACATTCTCTGAATCTTTAATATAAAAATTCAAATTCAGCTATTCAACTCTATCGGAAAGTGAGCGAAAACGATTGGAATTGGAAGAAGATCGCCTCCTTGCAACACTTCTTCACAATTTGACTGCTTATATGATGGCTTGTTTTTGGTTTTCCTAGATGTTTACCTGTTTAAAGATATTCAGCTTAAGAACTGAGTATCGTGGGTGACTGAAGATAGCTTAAAACTGGAGCATGACAGACTATCATGACTGCCTATCATCCCTGACTATCATCCCTGACTATCATCCCTGACTATCATCCCTGACTATCATCCCTGACTATCATCCCTGACTATCATAACTGAATTCCAGCATTGTCTAGAAACTTATTCATCACTCAATCAAACCTCAAACCTAACAAAATAATATTCGACTTTTTTAGATGTGTGGAACGGGACAAAAAGCGAGTCAACAAGTAAACGAAAGAAAGAAAACAAGAAAAGTTATCGAGTTTCAGAAAATTCGGCGACTATTGGGCAAAGCGCACATAGGATTGGTGTGCTCAAAGACGATCAATCAATTGCTCGATGAGTTGCCACAACAGGTTGGCAAAGAACAAGCCTAACAACTCAAGCCTAACAAATCAAACCTAATAAATCAAGCCTAACAAATCAAACCTAAAAAATGACAAACAAAAGAAATTATCTATAAATAAAATGGAAAAAAAAGTTTCAGCAAGGCAATGCGATCCCTTTAAAGCCGTTAGGCAGTCGTTTGGTACAGAAGCAATCGTTCACCGTTTATGCTGGATCAAATGCTCAAGGCATGATGCTCTTTATGGAGGTAGGACGAAGTTAACTCCCTCTGGAGTAAGGGAGATCAAGTGAGTTGTGGTGTAATGGTTAGCACAGTTGCCCGGTGAGCGAAAGGTCGCGGGTTCGAGCCCATGCGGCGCACAAGTTTTGCCTAGCACAAGTTTTAGCCCTGGTTTCAAGAGTTGAAACTAACAAGCGAGAGGCTGCCACGACTTTCAAAGAGCAAGCTCTCACCTCACCTTTAAGAGGCTGCCACGACAAAAGAAACAAAAGTAGCGGTGGTCTGGGGGTAGTGTGTTAGACTATTAAACTATCGCAATTTTTTGCTCCCCGGGTTCGATTCCTCTCGCCGCTCTTTTCTAGATCCTTGCTAGATCATTGCTAGATTGCAAGCTTGTAAGCTAGATTGTAAGCTTGTAAGCTGGATTGGAAGCTTGTAAGCTGGATTGGAAGCTTATAAGCAAGACTGTAAGCTTGTAAGCTAGATTGCTAGCACTTATAACTTCAAGAAACTTTCCTGAGCTGCTGTCTATGTTTGGTAAACTTTGATGGTGATGTTGTTTTGTGTTAGAGTTGAAAAAAATCTAGTTTAGGTTTGTGACGATGCAGTGGTTTTGCGAGCAGTCACTGGCGCGATCACCGAACGTTGGTGGTATGAGAGATTGGTGAATATGACCTATTCACCAAAAACAAAAGTCTTATGTTTATGGAGAAGACATGAGGATAAAGTACACATGCATAAGTTCTACACAAAAAAAGTGAGTCAAACTATCGGTGCATTGCTATGGTTCGATTACAATGAACATGTACAATGAACCTGTAAAATGAACATGTACAATGAACCTGTACAATCAACATGTACAATGAACCTGTACAATCAACATGTACAATGAACATGTACAATGAGCAATCAATTCAGTGTCGAGAGCTTTATCTCTGCATGAAAGCGGCAATGGAAAGAGCAGCGGCAAGAGGTCGAGTTTCTGTTGAAGGAAGGGATCTTGGAGGAGAGTTTCCCGTGCATGATACAGAGACAAATCAAGGGGGATTGATGCAGGTGAGTGGCAAGGAAAAGGCTGATGGATCAGAAGTGCATTGCCAATTGAAAATTGCATGCAAAAGGCACATGACTTTGTTGACCTCAAGAACACATAGAAAGTGCTCTGAACAAATGCAAAGTGTTCTGAACATTTTAATCTAGACTAAATACCGTAATCCAGCTAATGTAGACTGAATAGACTTAAGCAAAGTGTTCTGAACACATCCAAAGTGTTCTGAACACAAACAAAGTGTTCTGAGCACATACAAAGTGTTCTGAGCACATCCAAAGTGTTCTGAGCACATACAAAGTGTTCTGAGCACATACAAAGTGTTCTGAGCACATCCAAAGTGTTCTGAACACATCCAAAGTGCTCTTGTAGGTCAACAAAGTCAAAAGTTCATTGCTGTGCCTCTAGTGGGTGCACAAATCAATGAAATATTTCCCATTCATTTCTCAAATCAGATACAACTAATTGTTCTGCTGTCTTGTGCCCAAGAATATAAGCAAATTTGAATTTTTTTTTGAGCTTGAGTCATTCTTTTGAGTCATATGGAATAAAGGCAACTGTAAGTAACTAGTAAATAGTAAATAAAGCTTTTCACATTGTCTTAAAAGGCTTTTGATCAAGTTTGATTATTTGATGGTGTTGAAATCAAAGTACTATTTGATTATCTGATTATTTGATTATCTAGGTTATCTAGTTTATCTAGTTTATCTAGTTTGTTTATCTAGTTTATCTAGTCTAATTATCTAGTTTATCTAGTTTAATTATCTAGTCTAATTATCTAGGTTATCTAGTCTAATTATCTAACTAGTTTAATTATCTAGTTTAATTATCTAGTTTATCTAGTCTGATTATCTAGTTTATCTGGTTTAATTATCTAGTTTAACTAGTCTGATTACCTAGTTTATCTAGCTTATCTAGCTTATCTAGCTTATCTAGCTTATCTAGTTTAATTTTCTCGTCAATTATCTGATCTCCGAAGCCAAAACCACGTACAAAATCTCAAGTTTAGGTTCGAATTGATGGAATTGCAATTCTCTTCGAAAGCAGTCAACATTTCATCGAGTTGGGCAACATAAAAAAGTGCAATACTTTCGGTGGAAATTGTTTTGTTCTTGAAGAATTCGGTGAGTAGTAGAAAGAGGCAAAAGGAATTCGAGATTTCAGATCGTAAAAAGAACGAACTCGTGCAGAGGAGATATTTCTCACAAATGGTAGGTTTTGTGATGGGAAATTTGAATGAATCACGTTTTGTGGTTTGTGAGAGATTGTAGTTGACTGTAGTTGAAGAGATACTAACAAAAGAAGAGATATTGTAAACGGAAGTAAAATGGTAGCTTAGCTTAGATGTAGCTTAGCTTACTGTAGCTAGGTTGCTGTAGCTTAGCTTAGATGTAGCATAGCTTGGCTGTAGCATAGCTTAGCTGTAGCTCAGCTTACTGTAGCTAGGTTACTGTAGCTTAGCTTAGCTTAGCTGTAGCTTAGCTTACTGTAGCTTAGCTTAGCTGTAGCTTAGCTTAGCTGTAGCTTAGCTTAGCTGGTTACTGTAGCTTAGCTTAGCTGTAGCTTAGCTTAGCTGTAGCTTAGCTTAGCTGTAGCTTAGCTCAGCTGTAGCTTAGCTTAGCTGTAGCTTAGCTTAGCTGTAGCTTAGCTTAGCTGTAGCTTAGCTTACTGTAGCTTAGCTTACTGTAGCCTAGCTTAGCTTAGCTTAGCTGTTTACTAACAAACGTTTACGGTATCTCGTCGGCATCATTTCCATTTCTCGTGCATATTCGTGTTTCCTTTTTTTTCCAGGCTCCTTCAATAGCATGGTGTCTGCACCGTGTGTTCAGTGTAAAACTTGCACTCAAGAATATTCACGATGATCAACACCGATCACCCCGTTCATCACCGACTGATGATTCAGGAATAAATGAGGAAGAGATTGCTCGCAAATCCGTCTCTTCAATCAGCTCTGAAGCTCATCGACGATTATTAATTGATGAACGATCAATCATTTTGCCATATTCGGAGAATCCTTTCTAAAGTGCATCCCTTTGAGACGTTAGAGATACTGTAGTTCAAAGAATCCTTACGCTAGAAAGCTAGAATTCAAAGAACGCCAGAAAAAGTATACAGAAAACAAGACTGGCAACTGGCTGAGAGCGAAATGCTATACCATTCGACGCAGAATTTTATGCTGATTCTGAAAATATATTCCGTTTTTTTTAAAGAGCACTCTGTCAAAAGTTATAAGCGTCTAAAGTTTTGTTAGGACTCTGCAGACGTGGTCGTTTGGGTCTTAGCGGCCTCCTTGCGGATCCGTTTCGGTGCAGCTGTGGCCTAGTGGTGCGGCGTTCGTTTCCGGAGCGAAACCTCACACGTTCGACTCCCCCAAAGATTCAAAGTGGGGATCGAATTTGTGAGATCTCGCTCTGAAACCGAACACTGTACCACTCGGCCACGGCTGAAACGGACCCGCAAGGAGGCCACTAAGGTCCAAATGGCCGCAAGGAAGGTCGCTAAGACCCAAATGACCAGAGATCCCAATCCCAACAAAACTTTAGACGCTTATAACTCCTGGAAGATTGTCATTTAGCAAAAACAGAATATATATTCGGAATCAGCATCAAAATCTGCGTCAATCGAATAGCATTTGGCTGGCTCAATCAGCTGGCTCAATCAGCTGGCTCAATCAGCTGGCTCAATCATCTGGCTCAATCAGTTGGCTCAATCTGGCTCAATCAGTTGGCTCAATGGCTGGTTGGCCTTCCCTTGTGAATCACTTTTATCACTAGGATATTGAGACATTATTAGACAGACAGTATCTTTAAAGTCTTCATGTTGTTGTAAATTGAATGAAGATCAAACTTAAAAATTTTAAAATGACTTTAACTGAATGGTTCTTGTTCTGGTACACATTTTCTTGGCAACAAGCACCTTTTTATTTCTCTAACATTTGTGGGGTTTTTTTCTAAAGAGTGCTCTTTGATACGGTAATCAGTCCAGTAGCATATTGACTAGCTTGTGTTCCTCTTGGGTTTTCTAAAAAGTGTACCTCAGAAAAGGTACAGTATTCCGGTTGATCTAAGGCAGACAATCTAAGGAGCTCAGTCTATTTGGCATATTGTATCAAGAGCACAACGATTTTTCTTTTTTTTCACAACCATTTGCATGTCTTGATACACCTTCTCCTACTTATTGTATTTCGATGTTGTGGACTGCACTTATACACAGCAAAATTCATTTTTCACTATTCTTTTTCATAATCGTTTCACCATTTTAAGGCTGATCAAATTTGCTACGCGGTTTTGTGCGTTTTCTCGTTTGTCGCCGCCGGTCAGAAGAATCAAGCTTCCCCGAAAATTGCAAAATAACAAAACGATCTTGTAGTTTTTAAAGAGTGGAAGAAAGTACCGTGATCTTTGACTAGCTAAAGTAGCGTAGTTAAAGTAGCTTAGCGAAAAGTTGATGTCAAATCGAAAACCTAAAACAAAACTAAAGTTTGCTCTTTTCCACCGTATTCGTTTTCAATTTGAACTAATTTTATCGATAAATAAGCTTGCGGTACTGGCAAATAACTCTCTAGAATTAGTGTTTTTCCTTTGGAAATAAAACGGCTCAACTACTCACTCGCACTCTCCATTTCTTATATTTCGTTCGAATTTATAGATTACTGTATTTATTGTGCATTTTAGGGATCTTTTTCTAGAGTCCACTACTAGAGTGACGTGTTTTGGGGGTATGCCAATTTCCGCAATTTTTTTGCGCAACAGGGTCAACTCGCCATAACTTTCTTCTAAGTGCGCGAATCTTTATGATTGTTGGTTTCATTTTGTTGCACTTATTGAGATCTACAAAATGAAACCAAAACCATAAAGATTGGTCCACTTAGGAGAAAGTTATGGCGAGTTGACCCAGTTGCGCAAAAAAAAGTTGCGGAAATTAGCCTACCCAGTGTTTTTTTTATTTTTTGGGTAGAAATGGCTTTAATTTTTTTTTAAATTTCTCTTGTATTCACAGAAAAAAAAAGTTGTGCTTCATTCATCCTTTTGATATTTTTTCGCGAAATTACTTTTCGAGCAATAAAAGTGATCGATTTCAAATGAAAATGAAAATGAAAATGAAAATGAAAACGACAAAATTTGAGAACACCACAAGCACTCACGCATCGAAAATGCGAAAAACAAAATAATGGCAAATGAGACATTTGGAAAACTTCTAGACAGACAAAAAGATATTCAGCTAATCAGCTGCCGTCGAATTAATTACGGTTAAGCTTTCGGATATTTAGCTAATTTTACCGCTATATTAACTCGAAGCTCGCAAAAATTTTTCGCTTCAAATCCCTTTTTCACTTTTTTTACTACACTCGCGCGAAAAAGTATGCTAGGTTTTAACCTTAAAAAGCTTTTCGACTTGAATAGCCTTTTATGAAACATTTGTCTGCGTGGTCGTTTGATGGAGTGCTAGCAAAAGCGTTTTTTGCGCCAAAATCCTTTACGCCAAATGCATTTGCGTCAAATTTACGCTTATGAAAATCACTGTAACAAATCACGAACCTTTACGGTTATCAGGGGGGAGGGTCGAGTTTTTGACCAACTTGCAACCCGATTTTAGATAGGTTTTTGTTGATAACTTTTGAATGAAACAACTAGTTTCTGAAAGCTGATGTTCCAAGCTATCTAAATATTATTAAAACTCTCCGATCTGACAAGTTTAAGGTGCTTAAAAACAAGCCGCAAGTTGGTCAAGAACTCGTGGTCCCCCCCGATAACCATAAAGATCCAAATCACTCTTTCCCAACTTCTAACCAACCTTTTTTCAGTTTTTCCTTCACTATTTTAGTCCTCACTGTTTTCAATTAGAAAAAACGTTTAAATACCTATACAGACCCCAAAAACAGTAATTTTTGTGCTCCCGATTGGGCTTTTTTCTCTATATCGATCTTATGCCATTAACAGACCCGGGGAAGGCGGCAAAAAAGCAAGCATCGTCGACGAAGAAAAACTGAAAAAACATATAAATTATCAATCAGAGTTGGTAGGAAAGTGTGTTGAAAAGCGCAAATGATACGTGGCCCAAATAATTTGGCGCTTTTGCTAGCACCCCAGTTTGTTTTTGTTCACCGATTTTACGAACAATGATCATGATCAGATGTTTGCGATAATTAACTGTTTTCTCTTAAATGTTCAAATTTCTAATCGTTTTTTATAGTTTTTATTTTCAGAAGAAAATGGTGCACTCTAGCCCCATCATTTGCAACGACTCAAAGGTAAGAAACGTTTTGATTCTTTAAATGCATGATTGTTGGGCAAATTTAGTGTTGAGTGAGTTGAGCCTATTCAAATGAAGAACTAGACCAGTAGATGATAACGTGTAGGCTTTTGAGCTTGTTGACTCTAGATTACGATGGGAAGGTTACAATGAGTTGAGGTTAAAAGTGAATTAGCAGCTTTGGTTGCGCTTTTTGAACTCTTGGATTAGTTAAGTATGAGAAAATTACGAAAATCCAAAATGAAACTGAATTATGTTCTTTGCTTTAGGGAGTCAAGCCGAAGAAAGGACCAAGGACTCCACCCGGCACGCCCCCATCGTCATCATCTTCTGAAAAGGTACAATAGAAGTGCCGTCTTGACGTTACTTTGCAATTCAGCCTTCTTCCCTCAAGAAGAGGAGAACTAGAAATCACCAATGCCATCTTCATCACCGAAATCTTCTGAGGAGGTAAACAGATCTCATGTTGTTTTTTTTACAAGTCTTGGTTTAGAAACAACAAAGTGCATTGGGATATAAGCCATCACGCTGGGATATAAGCCCAGCTTTAAGCGTAGGAGCCTTTTTGCTTTGTACACTTGTCTGCTTTTAGGTGCGATCATCCGAATCGCCAGGCAAGACTCCGATGTTTGGCGATGTTTCTACAATTTCTTCCCTCTGTGTGTCGCCAGTTACAGAACAGGTAAGAGACTTTCAGAGATGGTTAAAACGTAAGGTCAAATTTTTAGTACGAAATGGTTTCAAGTAGTTCTTTGGGATCGCCGTCTCCTCCTCCATGGCGTGTGAGTGAAACTTTCTAATGCAATAAAAAGATTTTTTGCAGGGTGGGCGTAGATCGCGTTCTCGTAGCCCACGTGAACACAGATCTCGTTCTCGAAGTCCACGTGTACACAGATCTCGTTCTCGAAGTCCACGACGCAAATATCGTTCTCGCTCTACTAGTCCGCTTATGGTTGTTTTTTTGCCAGTTTCCTTACACTTTATTAGTTTAGGTCTACCTTCCTAGCTCGCGACACGGGACATCTCCAGTTGATCATTCAAGGAACTATAGGGTAGCAGTATTGTAGTTATGGCGATATGTTTGTTTGTTTCAGAGCTACAGGACTTCTGCTCAACGAACGCCTTCTGCTCCACACACATCGGTGAGCTCATTTCATCAATACTAAAAGAATTCTTTGTTTTAGAGGCGAGATCAGCTCCCTTATGTTCAATATGTTGAAAAGAAGAGTCAATGGAATACTTTTGGAAAAGTCGAGAACAGGTAATTTGTTGGAAACATTCGAATTGATGTTGATGTCTTATTCAGACAACATTCTGTATCGCCTTTGTGCCAACGACGCCAGGGCTCACCAAACAGGTTGCGTTTGAACCTATTTTTTTTTTGCTTATAGAATGATTTAGACAAATCGGCTTATTCAATTTGCCGTATAATGTCAGTGAGAACGATTTACGAGAGATTTATCGACGTCATGGGCCAATTGAAGATGTTTGCTCATGTAGCTGATTTATTTTTACCCATTTTGTCTAGATTCGTATTATCTTTGATTACGAAACTGGAATGTCACGCGGCTTTGCTTTCATCACCTTCAATCATCTGCGCGATGCTACAAAGGCACTTCAAGCAACAAAGGGAATGAAAGTCGGCTTAAAATGATTAACCTTTTACAGTATGAGTTTAGATTGACGATCGGATGATTAAGGCCGACTATGCCTTGGGAGAGAATGTTGGCCACACATCGAACTCGAAGTATTTATTGCAGGATCGTCGTGTTCATCACATCAAGTATCTAAAACACTATAGGAACGATTCACTTAAATTTTAGTGATCGCGTTTCTTACACAGATGGTTGTGAACATTGCCACCATGACAACGATGATGAATATAAGAGGTAGTTTTTAGCATCCAAAAGAAATCTGTAATTTTAGGTCTCGTCGCTCTGGACATTAGAATGTCATCAAATTGTTGTTGATGAAATTTGTTGCATGTTCGTTGTCTTTGATATTTTAATGTTGCCTTTGCCTTTGTTTTTAGTGTTAATTTTGTTGATAAATGTTTGCAAATTTCTATTGCATTACTTTATAAATTACAATGGTCTTGACTTAAAGATTATTTTATGCTGAAAGCTAAAATTTGTAAGAGTGTAAACCCGACTTAGGTGCTTTTGGGCGACGATTAGTTTTATTTTAAATTTAAATTTTAAAATTTTCTGATTGCTTAGGAGTATCAATGCCTCAAATATCGGCGTCCGTTCTTCGAAAGGTGAATCTTTTCTCCATTTTGTATTCAATCAACTAGTGTTTAAAACTAAAAGTAGCTGTTTGAGTTGAACTTTTAGTCTTTAACCAAAGCTATCATTTATACAATTTTTAGAAAGTAAAACTGAAGCGACGCAGCACTCGGATAAAAACTCCATCGTTGTCGCCACCGAAACGCGCTTGTTTGGTATATTTTATCAATCACGATGCATCTATCTTATTCTTTAGACAAAATTGATGAGGGATGCAAGTCTTTCAATGCCATCGGAAAAAGTTAAGGCTTATTGCAAAGTTTCTTCATGCTTTGGTTGTTTTTAGGAAAGTGGAGATGCTCCTCGTCGTGCGAGGGCTCACTCATGGACTACAGTTACTCCGCCATCAAGTCCGGATCGTGGAAAAGTATTCATCGGCACATTTCCTTTAAATTCTCTTTTAAGGATGATGACGATTTCAAAACACCATCTACAATCTATTCGTCGGCAGAATCGCAGTTAGAGCCGCCAACAAGGACACCACCAGAAACACCAAAAAAGGTTACAACTAGTTTATCATTATTGTATTGCTGGTTTTAGATTAGCTTCAAACTCAAGTGGACTGTGATCAAATCGTCAAAAACCGATTACTCAAGCGACACTTCAACTGATAGTTCTTCAAGCGAATCATCAGTCTCTGGTCCCAGTACTCCAAGGGTGCGTGTTCTTAAAGTGCCAACAAATTTAAATTGTTTACAGGTGTATCGCGGCAAGCGGGCTTCTCGATCCACTTCGTCATCGGCCAGTTCAGCACCAAAAAAGTCAAAGGTTGGAACCATTTAATTTGGTACTTCACTAGTTAGAGTTGGTTGATGCTCGTTATTTGAAAAATTTAGAAGAAACGAAGCGAATCTGCTAAAAGAAAGAAAAACGAGAGTAGGAGCCGCTCACGCTCTCCAAAAAGCAAGCCGAGTTCGCCATCCGAGCGCAAGAAAACAACCAGGCGGACAAGCTCGAGTCCATCTCCTACGCCAAAGAAGAAGGTTTACTTTTAGTTGCCATTATTGTTTATATTCAACAAAATGTTTAATCATGATTTCTTACAGGCACACGACCTAAAAAGAAAACGAAGCGAATCGTCGAGTCATAGTCGCTCGCCGGAGCGTAAGACGAATGTGCATATCATATGTCAAATTTACGATTATTGAAACAGTTTAGGCTCATTGCTCTCGACGCGGTAAAAAGGACCGCAAGATAAAAAAAGGAAAAGATAAATCGCCATCACGAGACCATTCAGTAAGTTATTGTGCATTTTTAGCAAGATTCATGGTTTTAGAGAGTTGATTCGCCCCATCGTAAAAAGAAAAATTATCAAAGTCGTTCTCCAGAACATGATCGTTCGGCGAGTTTATTTTGCAAAAAGTTAAAAACTTGAAGTTTAGTGTTCGCAGTCGCCACATCATAAGAGCCACAAGAAGAAACAGAAGAAACGCGAGCAAAGCCGCTCTCCATCACGCGATCGTTCACCAAGGCATTTTCGACGCTCACGTAGCAGGTACAAATTTTTGAAAAGATTTAGCCAAAAGAGTTGAAGTGTGTTCTCTAATGGAAAAATTTCATTTCTTCATCTTCAAATTCATTCAGGAAAATTAGTTATTAGTCAGAAGCAACTAGTTAATTTTGCACGTCTAGGTCACCTCGCTACCCAGCACGCCCTGTTATCACACAACACGATCGCCAACTACGAGAACCATCAAAGTGATAGTGTTCCCTTTTGTTATTAAAAACAAATTTTAGTGAGATTGTTGTTTTCAATGTTCCAAAAAGTTGTACGGCTAAGGAGCTACACGAAATTTTCAAAGAATTTGGGCCAATTGAAGAGGTTATTGATCATCTTCTTCCACATATTGTGTACTTTAGGTCAATGTGATTCGTGATCGTTTTACGGGCCAATCACGAGGATTCGCTTTCATTACTTTCGAGGAACTGGAGTCTGCTAAGCGTACAATCGAGAAAATTGTGGATTCAATGGAGGTTTGTTTCAAATTTGGTCTGCAAAAATACTTTGTTCCGTATAATTTAAAAAAGTTAAAAAAGCGCGGAAAACTGTTGTGGTGCTTGAAACATTAAATGTTGTATTGGCAATATACTTTACAAAAGACAATTTTTTTAGATAGACGGGCGTCGTCTTCAATGCAATTATTCTTGGGGCCAAAATCGTCCTCCAGATGCGGAACAACATCAGCATGGAACTCGTAAGAAATGGTAGTCAAGGAGCAAGTCGTTCACAAACAAGAAAATTAGAATGCTTTCTTTGCTTTAATTGTAATTTGTTGCCCCCATTTAGTTTTTCGCGATTTTCGCGATTTTGTTATGTCGTTATATTAATGAATACATTTTTGTTTTAACTCTTGAAAACTTGGCGACAAGTAAGTCAACAGTGATTCGAAGAAAATTACGGCATCTGAGAAATCTTTGAAAAGCATCTTGAGAGTTTTAACCAATTCAGTGAACAAAAACGCTAAGGAGGGAACCCTTTAAAGTTACATACGTTTCAGGAGCGATCTGTTTCCGAACTTTTTGTCCCTGGTTCGGATCCATTGTCAGTCTTTTTAGAAAAACTCGAAAATTACTTTTTTTGATCAGTAATCACTTACATTGCATTTACATGCCCACGTACTTTAGGGCACAAGAAGCAAAGAGATGCTGATTGTGGAGATGCTGATTCAAAGTTCAGCAGCTCTCGCTCATTCCTACACGATGTGCCTAGTTTTAACACAACTCGGTGGACTGCTGGAAAGCTTGTTTGTTGTGATTTCGAAACTGACAGGTCAAGTGCCAACTACTGTCACCTCAGCGCATGGGATTAAGAAAAAGTTGGCTCTCCAAGAGTACGTGTTTCCATGAAAACTATTCCTCTCGGTTGTACCGGACTGACTAATCCAGCCTTCGAATTTGTTTTTTAACAACTTTCGAAAATCAAGGGGTAATGAAGAATATACAAATCCTACAATACTTTAAATACTCTATCTACAATTTGACAGTCGAGACAGAGAATTGCGTTGTTCGAGATACCCTGAGGCTGTTGGGTCGATTATTCAAGTCTTTTCAAATTAAAAATTTTCGGGAGCTTCCCGGATGCCCTTGACCACCGGGTATTTCTCCCCGAAAAATTCAGATCTCTCCTGCAATGAAAAGGTTTCCACGGCAAGTCCTCAAACCGTTTACTTATTGAATTGTGAAAACCGAGTTTATGGATGTTCCATCCATGCAGATCCAGTGTTACCGATTCTAAAGTTTTACATTTTGCCACAAAATGAACAATTTATGCTTGGCAATGAAAAAGACTCGAAAATTAAAGCATACAATACTCGTTCCGACAGGCAAAAAAAAAATGACTAGAATAACAAAGGTGGCACTATAACGATTAAGAAATGTAAAAAACGTATCTAACAAAAGAAATACTCAAAAATATTTAGCGAATTCGAATAAATGGAGCAAAAATGAAATGGAAAAAGAACTTGAAAGCTGCAAAGATCCGGTGCCAGACACCAGTTCGATCGAGCTTCGACGAGGTGATCCGCAGATGTGAATTGTGGCCCTTTTGGAACTGAAATTCTTCCTCGTTTGCTTGAATATCCTCGCTTTCTTTTACTTTCTTGCAGTGGATGCATTCCAGCTGCAACAACTTCAACCGAGGTGGGTAACGAAAGATCGGGTAGTTGTCGAAGTAGGCGACGAATTGCACCACGTCTCCTAAAACAAAAGTACCAGTACCAGTAGCACAAAGAATAGTTTTACCCTATACACAAGTGTCGAACAACTTTATTTTGAATATTAAGTAAACATAAACAGGCACAAACCTTCCTCGATCAGCTTAAGCATATCCGTGAACGCATGTGTTGCCGAAAGTAGCAATTGGCCCTTCGATGAGCTCACCTAAAGCCAAAAACTTAATTCAACTAATTAAAACTTACTAGACGATCCCCATATGGTCCAACTATATCCAAGTCAAACGTGTAGACATTATGTGCAGTCAAAGAGCATTGATTCGGTCTAAAAAGCAAGTTAGCGATTTGTGTTATCCCTAGCAACTCACGTCATTCCACTATTGTGCGAAATGAGAGTCGAATTTGTATCGTAGAAGCATCGAATCGATTGTCCAAGTGAATCGGGAACATAAGCGAGGAGTGATTCAAAGGCGTTCTCTATCGTGGCCACTCGCACACTTTGCACAGCACCTTTCCATTGCACCGCGGTACCTAGATTTTGGATTTGATTTCACAAGCGTATTTTGCAAACCTTTGAGCTGTGAACATTCAATTTGACTCATCACTTGATTAGCGCTGGTGGGAGCACAATGTTTCTCGAATTGCAACCTAAACAAAAATGATTAATATGTTTCCGAAGGTAGTAATGGTGTTATTAATTTTGTCAAACATACCATGTCATATTAGTCAAATCAACTTTTGGATCGAAAGAGAGTTGTCCTTGGTACAAAAACGAGATCGTAACAAGAAGAGATAAAAGATATGCCATTGCAAGCACCCAGCGACGTTTCTTTGAATCATCGGGAAAGACTAAAAGAATAATTTTCAAGGGAAGACCATTAAGAACAACCTTGCACTTGATACAACTTCGAAAGCCACGAGAAAATCTTTGCAGCGATAAACGGAGAGGCGAGCACGCACAACGTCACCACAGCTTTCACGACGCTTTTCTAAATTTGGATATTTACTAGATTAAGTAAATTAGATTAAAAAATGCTATAAAGCATTAAGTTTATACGCTTATGGTAAATTTTAGGACAGCTTACACATACCCAATCAATAAAAGATCGCATTTGAGCAAAAGCGGCTCCGGCAATTACAACTCCGGTGGCAAGGGACCATTCACTCGGCAATGAAAAGAGAATTGCTGCACTTCCCGTCAACAGAAGGTCCACATACTAAAAAAAGTTGTATTAAGTTTGTTCTGAAAAATGTTTGTTCTTGAATTCTGAAAGTTATCACTAGCTAGAAGACTCTTTGACTCGGAATTAAAACACTTTGTTGACATCAGTGTTAAACTAACCGTAAACCCTTGCCATCCAATCATCCACAGTGTCATCGCAATATCTGCCCAAATAATGCAAACCTAAAAGCTAGTTTAACTAGATAATGTGCAAACACACTTACCAGGTGTGGCACAATCGTTTGCAGTCGATCCAACCAAGTCTTTTGCCGAAGAGCCATGAGAAAATAGGCGACTGGAATTGAGAGAAGAGCCACGGATGGAAGCGAGATCGACATTGTGAAATAAGCTGAAGCAAAATAAATAGCCCAAAGGTTTCAAACAACAACTTACCAAAACGAAGCTCTCGAACTGGTCGCCAAATTTGCCAGTAACCGATCGACAATCTCATTCTCGAGAGAATTGTTGGAAGACTAAAGTAAAAAGTTAGTTTTAAACAAAAAAAATATTTCTTACCAACTAACGAGATTTGCTACAACGGCGTAGACGGCATAATGATCTTGTTGTTCGGCGAGAGCCACAAATGTCATCAGCGAGAAGAAAGTGGCAATTGCGCAGAGGAGACTAAATTCGAAATTAAAGCTATTATTTTAAACAAAACAACACACCTGCAATACGGTAGAAATTTTCCAGCGGCTCCAATTGCCAAAATGAAGACGAATAACGCGAGCACAAAGTTGAGATACGGATCCCAATTCTCCGTAAGAAAAAGTGACTCCTGGATATATAGATTTTTGAATGGTTTTTTCAAAATTTACGTGTGGATCCTGGTGAGTCACATCTTTTGGTTCCTCGTTGAAAAGCTCCAAAAGTCGTCGTTTTACTTCTTTGCTTCGTTTCTCTTTCTAAAAAGTTGAAAATGATTAAGCTTTAAAACAAGAGTTTGAATTATAAGAATCTGCTTGCTATCATGCGTTAACTTTATCAATAAAACATTCTAAATGCAAACAAACCTTAACGCTTTTGTTGTGAAACATCTTAAGAGTCATATAAGCCATTGAGATAAATGCCCCATAAGCGATAATCACCGGAAGTATTTGAAGAATCGTTTGTAAGCTAAATGAATATGAAAAAGCTATGTACAAAAAAATACCTAATGAATTGAACTAAACACACGAGAATTAGTGTTTGCACTTGATGAAACGGGAAAATGGCGTACGCAATTTGAACCTAAAACTATCATTATTTGGATAAAAAGCCAAACTCACCCATTGTTGGTTCACTTTTGCAAGTACAAACTCAATAAACGTCTCGATTTTCTTCTTGGCCTAAAGAATGCATATTGACCAAAAAATTTTGTTTTGTTAAAAGAGGAAAAGAATTACAACAAACACAAACCATTTTCGGATATCCCTTTCGTTTATGCTTATGCTCTTTCTTCTCATCTTCTTCAACTGGTTGACTTGTTGACGTCTCGGGATGATCGATTAGCGCATCCACAAAGTCTTCTTCACCGTCAATCTAAAAATTAACAAAGTGAAAAACTTACAAGAGAAAGTATGCGTTAAAAGTTGAAGCCTTAGCGTCAAATATACAAGTTTATTTACCGTTTCACCATCTTCGTGCGGCAATCCGCTTTCCGCTAAATCTCTTTCGTCTTGTGCAGTTTGCAGTAGCTGTTCGATCAATTCTAAACAAAATATTTATAAAAATAAATTAGTTCATAAATTATAGTGCTATCAAGATTCTATCGAATAATAGCCGTAGGTTAAAGTAAAACCCACGTGTCTGTGTGATGGTATCGTCGTTGTCAACCGCCCTCAAGGCAGCTTGCAATCCGGCGTCGCTTGCCAACCGCCGATCCGTTCTCGCTAACATGTGAAACATCCGACGAGCGGCTGCATCTAAATACAAAAATTAAAACGGGTTATAAACTAGCAACAGTTTAATTTTTGTACAGCTCTAGCACATTTTCATAAGACTCGATTTTGATTTGAAACACTTAGTAAAATAGATCTTGTCTTTAAAGCCAAAAAAGCAGGACCTGGTCAAAACAGCGCCGGCCAAAATAATCCGTTTACGGTTAAGTTTATTTGTGTTTCTTATTTTCATTCGATGTAGAAAAAAATCAACTATCTGCTGAATATTTTGGAGCCGTTTAGAACAAATCTGGGATGAGAAAATGCCAAAAAACGAAAAAGGGCTCAAAAAGAGGTTAACTGAGCTTTTCTCACACCAATTCTGTTTTAAGTGATCCCAAAGTATGCAAAATGTAGATAACTTTATTCTGCATCCAATAAAAACAAGAAACAC